GTGGAACAAGTCACCATGCTTCTCCATGGTCTCTACTGTATGTAGTTGAATGCAGAGCACATTCTGCTTAAGTGAATTGTCAGTGCTCCAAGCAGTGACCATTTTGGTTGCCATTGTGAGTAGAAAAAAATTTTGGCGACTAAAATTGCTGTGAAAGTCACCAAATTGGCGACCTGTGTTCAGCTATCATGTGCCAAGCTTTTCCCTTTTTTTGTCTGATATTGTATGAACCATGTGTGTACAGTACACTTTTTATGCTTTGCAATTGTACAGCCCCTTTCAACTGTAATAATTGCTCGTGAGTTGTTGCTAATTGCTGCTTTGTTGTATCTAAGAGTATTACTTGTCATTTATTTGTTAGTGCACCTTATGCACCACCTGTCAACTGGAATTTCAAGTCAGGAGCTGCCGCTTCTGCAGCAAAGGACAGAACAGCCATTGGCAAAGACAACAAGCACATTGACGTGGATGCTGTTGGTACTGTCAATGGAGTGTCTATACATGAGTTTGATTTGGACTCTGTTGATGACAAACCCTGGAGAAAACCGGGTAAGAATAATTAGTCTGAAATATCAGCTGCCTGTCGGCTGTTTGTCTGAGGTTGATTCCACTGCCCCTCATGGGGAAGTAGACTTACTGACTGGTTAGTTGGGACCTTAAATGATAGTAACATTCACATCAATGAAACCTGTCTCCAATAATGGGAATTGCCATCCTTTCAAACTTTATTGCCATTATTAGAACTTGCTTAATTTTGCAAACTAGTGAAATTTTCCTTCAGTTGAATTTAGCCAACCACAGTCAAGTTCTAAAAATATTAGAAATTGTTACTGTGTATCTGTGGCTTCCATAAAACATTGCACTGGGGACTGAGCTTTTGGCTTTTTTTGGCGCGGGGAGGGGGGGGGAGGGTACAGGTGGGTGAGTAAATTTTCCAATCCCAACTGTACAACTGTGATCACTTCTTTGGTGTATAGAGAAAGCTATCAACTCTATGCAAGAATTTCTTTCTTTTGAAGTCTGTTTGAAGGAATTTTTTCTGAAATGATTTCTCTTCCTCTCCAGTCAAGACTCAAAGTTAATGGCCAGTCCCTTAGAAAAAGTTCACAGTGGGGAGGTGTATTAAAAAGTGTGATGGACGCACAGAGTTGTTGTTTTGTTCATTGAATTGATATAGGTAATAGCTTGATTCGAAGTGATATTTGGCATAAATACCACGGTTGATGTTTTGAAATTTGAGACAATTTTGAAGTATCACGAGTGGTATTTATACCAAATATCACGTACAAATCATGTTATTATTTGTTTATACTACTACCCGCAAAAGGTTTGTAATTTTTACATGTAGGTACATGTATTTCAAATAAAGCTGAAAGACCACTGCCCTAAGCCAATCAAATTGCAGAAATTTCTCATGCAGTAGTACCGATGTATAAATGACATTATTGTACTTTTCATTTTCCACTCCCATTGCCTTGACCATCATCATTGCATAAGCTCTCTCCCTCTCTCTTTCTTTGTTTTGTTTTGTTTCTCTCCTAGCTGAATATTTTATCTGTTTTTAATATTAATGTTACCATGGAATTTGCTTCTAGGTGCTGATATCACAGACTACTTTAATTATGGCTTCACAGAAGACACATGGAAACAGTACTGTGAGAAGCAGAGAAGAATGAGGATGGAATTACAAATGCCAAAGAAAATATTTGTAAGTTGAGCTAAATGCTTTCGCGGGCCTCTTATAAGAGGCTAATGGAGAACGTACCAGAATGTTTGTACTCATGTAGGTGAAAATTTAGAAAAAATGGGTCAATTCGTTTAGGATGACCTATTTAAAGGATTGATAAGGTAGATACATAAATAGAAAGTGACTAAGTTGGGATCGCGAAAATTACATATTTACCCAAAAGTGACTAAGATGGGGTCTATAATTGGCTACAGAATAGACTGTAATGGGTTAGGGGCTCTGAGAAGCCAGCGGAACATACCCAGCAGAAATTAACCCAAGTACCCTCCCTCCCCTGGAGCTCTCATTTTGTTCAAGCTTGGCGATATTTCTTTCTACTGTACAAGATGAGCATAAACCAAGATAAAGTCAGCGTCACAAGCTCTACGATCATTAGTTCTTCGCTCCGCATAAGCGGTTACAGGTATTGGTGGATTTCCACTGTCGCGTATGTTTTGCATTTGTGTACACGTACGTAAATTTTTACTCTCTTAAATAAAATTGAAGCAAGATATAAAGTGTTGAGCTTAAACGCCAAGTTGAGAGAGGTTCAACTCTTACGTTTATGCGCGACCTTTCATAAATTGCCTCTATTTCATTTGTGAACGTAAATTTTACGCCCGTACGCACGTAAAAATTACGCGACAGTGGAAATCTACCCTATTTCAGGTGTAAAATAAAATCGGTGAAAGCGGCCACAGTAACTTTAAATGTTTGACAGGAATGGAAAAATCAGTTCGTAAGTCTGAGTAGGCGTGAGGTTTAGGCTAAGGCTCGCAGGTCCACCTCATACCTGTTTCAAACTTTTAGATAGTGGGTAGATCTGTGCTTTTGTCTAACCCTTGTTATCATTATACATCCTTTTCCATCAGGTCCATCCACCCCCTGTTGACACTGTTATAATGCCAGATGGTAAGTATTGTTTTTAAGGTTTGTACACAGAGAAGACGAGGAGAGTAAATGTAGAAGGACGCCTCCCTGACCAATTTTGTCGCACGAACATAATACCAACACTCCGGGTCTTTTAAGATAACTGAGGAAAAAGTGCTGCCTTTGTAAAGACATCTGCAAACGGTTAGGGTTCTTTCCATTTGTCAGAACTGGCCGGTCAGACCTTTCCCGTCGTAATGACAATTTTACTTTTAATCAAAACTATCCAGCCAGATCAGTCAAATCCTAAATAGTATGCACGTTTTCAGCAAAAACCGTTTGGAAAAAGCCGATTTCATTTGCTAACTGACTGGTCCGGCCGGCCAGTTCTAACAAATGGAAAGCGCTCTTAGACTTTCTAGTCCTCTCAGATAAGGAGGAAAAACCGTAGGCCCCTTCTCACAACCCTTCCACATATAAATTCTGTGGAACGTTAAACAACCCACACACTGTTCGCAAAGATGTTCATGAATGTAGGAGAAGTAGTCCGCGGTGTGGTGGTCTATCTCTCATGACCTGTCTGTGGGTCTCGGAGAGTAGAGTTTCTACAGTTCTGCCGTTATGTACTAAAATTTCATCTTTTTTGTTCAATGTGGTGTCTAAAATTATTCATAATATCTTTTTGTTTTTGTTACACTGTATATAGGGAGCAAGGGTGGGGCAGTGGTGAGAGCACTCGCCTTCTCCCAATGTGTCCCGGGTTCAAATCCCGGCGTCGATGCCATATGTGGGTTGAGTTTGTCGTTGGTTCTCTCCTTTGCTCCGAGAGGTTTTTCTCCGGGTACTGTGGTTTTCCCCTCTCCTCAAAAACCAACATTTCCAAATTCCAATTCGACCAGGAATCAGGTAGACGAAGAACCACTATGTGGATTTGCTTCCTGCAAATCGTTATTTATTTATTTATTTTATTTATTTTATATAGGGAGACCCAGAAAGGCCGGTCCTCCTCCTGAGCGCAAGCTAGAAGGAAGTATAGATGTTATTGGAGGAGAAGGTTCAAGAGGTATGTGGATTGTTGTACTTTGAAACTTTATTTGATGGCAAATACAATCCCTCTGTATTTTTAAAAGCAAACTAATTTAGTTTTCTTTTTATCAGTGGTTTTTTTAATAGTTTTTAATAGTTTTTTTTAATAGTTTTTAATAGTTTTGTATATTCTGGTATAGTTTTATTTATTATTATCTTAGAGTTGGCGTAATGTCCCAAACGATTTTGCCGACATAACGATATTTAGATTTAGATTTAGATTTAGATACAGTACTTCATGGTTGAATGCCATATACACGACAAGCCCACAATGCCTTGCGGCAATATTCTATTTGATTGCCTCCCAATAGACACGCTGTTCATCGCTCTTACTGATGAGTTTCCCCGTAGTCCTCAACACAACTTATACGTGATCCAACGTCATCATGAAGACCTGGACACTCGACGACATTTCAGTCCATTTTCTTGTTGAACTTGGATACGGTTCCCTAATAAATCCAGAAAAATTCGCGAACATTTGACCACATAGCCACTACGAATTTCCTTTTCGTGTTCGTTCAAATTCGCTTTCTAACCTGCCTCGGCTCCTGGAGCGATTAAAATAATGCTCGGTAGAAGATGCACACTGGTTGTGACGATAAAGGCCACACGTAGCCGGATAATTTTGAAAAACGGAGAGTTTTTCTTCCTTTCCAAAAAATCCGCGTTGGGAGCGTTCGCATTCTCTGGTATCCAACAACTCTACGTAATCTTTTTCAAAAAGAAGCTATGTTTTCATCCATTCGAACGAGTACGGAGTTTTCAAAACTCTTCCCTCTGGAGAGCGTTTTTTAAAAGATGCGTTTTTGGTGACTGTCTCAACTGAATACGTGTGAACGATAGGCCGAACCGAAAAAATAAATCTCTGATTTCAAACAAAAACGGATACATGTGGACGGGGATAAGAAACCTTATCTGGTGCTGACTGACAGTGTTCTCCTTATCAGGCGGCATCCGGTAAAATTTACCGTCTGAAGCAACACTTCTTAGTACTTGCTAGCGCTGAAGGTTTACTGTAATAAATAAGTTGTTTTAAAAAATACGCAAGTTGTGATCCGATCTGATCAAGGTAATGAATGAATATATGGAAGTGCACTAAAGTATACACAGCTTTTCTTTTTATGGGCCACGCATTTTGGAAAGAAAACGTTGAAGACGGGGTAAAATTATTGGAATCAAACGTTTTAAATTGTTGTCTAAAGATAACAACGGCTGATTTGCATAGAATGGGTCTTAAAATGAGGTAATGACGTTTCAGAGAACTTAGAGCCTAAATTTCACAGCGAGGTCGAAACCATGTCCCTCACTCCACTAACCCCCTCCCCCAAGGAAAGTGCGCTTCTAGCACATTTTTTTGCCTTACCGGCCATGAATGGTCCCTTACCTGCTGAGCTAAAAATTAGGGAGATCAGTACTGACTTGATTTTGTTTTTACATTAGTTGAAAGTCGCAGGCGACGTGACGAGGATGTAATGATGCCGATGATGGGTGAGGGTATGAATCCTGACATGGGTCCACCACGCCCAAGGCACTTTCCACCAGGTGAGGAAAAAACTACGACACATTCACATCGAAATTTTCCTAGATAGCTAAAGAGGTGATATTCGTTAAAGAAATATCAAAAAAAGGGTCAAATGCGTTTCGGGTGTATGACCCTTCTTCAGGGTGAGGAAAACCGTTGTACAGTACTACGCAATACCATAGACAAAAATGATCCAAGCGCCCGCGCGTGTGCCTAAGATGTATATAATGTCCCTGTTGAAAAAAAAGTGAAATTGATATTCAGCCCTTTCGGCTGAACGGTGCCTGGATGGAAAATTAACCGCATCTCAGGCTGCTTTCGTTGAATATTACTACCCCTGCATAACACCACACCACGCACCTGGACATCAGAAATACTGTGGCCAGTGGAGTTGAAATGTTAGGCCACAGCACACCCAGGAGTGTCGAAATTTACCTGCTTATGTAATAAAATTTCAGGTTAAGCCCGAATCCATTGGTAAATTGAGTAATTTCAATTTTCTGTGGACAAAATCTTGTACGCTTTTCAAGGGCTATAGATATATTTAGTTGTCTGTAATAACACCAGAGATAATTTCTTATGCGACCCCGAGAAAATAGATTTCAAATTTCACAGGAATTGTGACTGACACGGGTAAAATTCATTTGTAAGATTTCATTTCAGTGTCATTTCGTGTACTTGACATTTATTTTCTCTAGTTCCCAGAAGAAATTTTCTTTGATGTTATTGCAAATAACTAATTACATCGAAAGTCCTTGAAAAGTATAAATTAAATTATTCTATAGCCCTTTTTGTCCAAGTGTTAAAAATGGATTCCGTCTTAAATTGAGTTGCTTGAAATCATGTGTTTCAATGTTAGTAGTGCATCATTTAGCATAGTTTATTGTTGTGTACAAGTTTGAGTGATTACTCTCTTTGTTCTGTTTATTCTGTCCACTCTGGTGTTCACACGATATTCCAACTCAACCGGAGTACACGAATATGGAAACCCTGAATAATGATAAAATCTTGCTTGAAGTCTTCTAATGTGTTGAAGTTGCTACCTTGAACACATCAGAAGACAGGAGGAAAGTTTTATCTGTTCATTTTCCCATTTGAGAAATTCCTAACTTGAATTTGCCGCTTGCCACGATTCTAATTTTCTCTATTGCATGTTGCTCGTTTCCCAATAGGTGCCCCAGGGGGTCCCCATGGTATGCCCCCAGTCTCAGGTGCGCCCCCGTTCATTCCTCCGCATACTGACCCCACAATGGGACCTCCGACATCAGGACCACCCCACGGAATGCCCATGCATGTGCCTCCCGGAGCTCCAATACCTCACGGACTGCCCCCTCCATTCAGACCCATGGGACCAGATGGACCTCATCGCCCGGAAGGAGCACCCCCAGGGATGCCTCCGCCGGGTATGCCGCCTATGCCTGGTATGGCAGGTCCACCACCGCACGGATTTCCGCCGGAAATGGGGATGCCACCGGACGGATTGCACCCGCCATTTGATCCAATAGGTTTGGAAACTAAGTTTTAGCGATTTCACGCCTATTGTATAACATTTGTTTTGAATAATACTTGCATACAACAGTCATTACAACAGTCATTAGTCCGTACAGAATCTGTCAAGAAAGGAACATTTTATACCGGAGCCCAGGCTTTTAATAATTTGCCACCCCATCTGAAGGAAGTTGACTCCATAGTGATTTTTAAAACACTTCTTAATGGTATTATTTTTTAGATTTCTTGTAAATATTTTGGAGTTTTTTAGAGTCTTAATTTACGTAGTTATACAATTCTTAGTTTTTATCCATCGACATTGTACATAGTTTTGACATTTTTCTGATAGTTGTTCTGTTATAGTTATTTTTTCCTTTAATTGTGAATTTTTTAGTTGCCTAGGGCACCCATTTATAACAGCTTCAGCTGACGGATTTACCCTGGTTAAATATGTTGTTATTATGATGATGATGATGATGATGATTATTATTATTATTATTAGGGAGCTTTTGATGGTGACGTCAACTAGAACGGCAAAAAAGCAACAGGTTTAGTTTGGCAAAACAACAACTCTACACGTGCATCACACGTTTTTGTACACATTTTCTTTGCCGTCACTGTACGACGTCGACGTGAAACTTCCTAATTTCACATTTTGTGGAAGACGTGAACACAAGACAACGAGTTTCTTTTTTTTTTCCCTGAACTTTGATGCAGTATTTTAGAATTCAACTCTAGAAAAAATTGCCAACATTTGACGAATTGAACGAGATGGAATAAGCGCGATAAAGTTTGAGGCAGCGCGACTTCACTTTTTAAGTGACGTTTTTGTAGCCGTCGCCGTTGTTGTTGTTCTCTATAAGCACACGAGGCGCCAAATGTTGGGATTGGCTTGTGAAGGAGTTCGGTACTGAAAAAAGAAAAACCAATGAAAAAGTTAAAGGTGAACAGAGCAAAAATATTGAACGGTTCCTTGTGAACGAAGAGTCTAATCAAATTTTTTAGTCACGAAAATTCGTTCCGTGTCGTGTGAACGTTGGTCTCCCCTGAAGACATTAGGGAGCTTTAGCATCGACCACGGAAACTGCAGCGAAAACGTTAGTTTTGAAATGAATTCCCGCTTTTTCAATCTTTGTCGCGTTTATTCCAATTTGCTGAAAATGGCAAGTGTAGACGAATTTCCCTGGAGTTGATTTCTTGAGGACCGCACTCAAGTTTATAGAGAGAAAAAGAGATTCGTCGTCGCTTGTTTACGTCCTCCAAAAACTTGATCAGGCATTTTCACGTCGTAGTCGTGCAGGTCAAAGTTGTTGTTTTGCATCCTGGACGTCCTCTTTGCCGTCGCCGTCGTCGTTGCTAGAGCTCCCTAATCTTAAGGACTCGTCACGCGTACCAAAGATCACGTTAGGTCACAGTTTCAGCTGTAACAACAGGTACCATAGCCTTTTCTTTTCATCCCCAGGTCGTGGAGGCATGGGAATGCGTGGTAGAGGCCGGGGTCGCATTCCAATGGGACCCCCGGGAGTACCTGGCATGCCCCCCACCGGAGAATTCCCACAAGGAATGGACGAAAGGTACCCCTTTTTTATCAGTCTTCAGAGTACCCGTTAGGGAAGAGAAATTTAAAAGGCACCGAGTCGAACAAGCAGTAGGTTAAGCTGAGCTCTCAGCTTAATGGCAGGTCATCAGTATGCCCTTTCAGAAGTACATGTACATTAAACTCTCTCTTGACAGACGCCAGACGACAGTATGGACAGCGAAAGCATCAACTTTGTGAACTGTCTACCTTGAGTTGGGATTCCACAATAAAGGAAAACTCAGAATCAAATCGCGATTCAATTTAGACTTACACCTACCCTTGCTGTCAATTTAGACTTACACCTACCCTTACTGTCATGTAATTAAGAATCTTTCTTCTTCCTTATCTTCTTCCAGGGGCCCGAGACCTTTTGAGGAAGGCGCACCCTTTTTCCATGGAGGTAAGACTAAGCTTTTCACCTTCTTTTATTTTGCCGCTCTGGAGAACTGGCTCTTGAATAAACACTAGTTAATAGAGAGATTAAGCATCGCGTTTACGGCAAACGGCGAACATGAGATTCAAGTTAAGAAATTTTCAAAATGAGTCATGAGCAGATAAAAACAGTTTAAAACGTTCTTATGGATAGAATTCGGGTGAATCTACCGACCTTTTTTTTTTTTTGAACAGTAAACGACAAGTACATGGAAAACTTGGTCACGTGGTACAAATTTACGTTTGCCGTTTGCCGAAAACGCAGTGTTTAATCTCTCTGATAACGTAAGCGCATAACGGGAACTAAAAAAGTCACTTTTATGGAAATCCATCAACTCGCCCACTAGAAGAAATTTTCTTCTCAGTTGAACCGACAACAATTGCTGGAAGATTTGCCACAAAGGAACTTAAACCCTTTTCACTTTAAAGAATGCCAAGAAGCACTTCAAGAAGTCCCAAATTATTTTTTTCTTAAAGAATGAAATATATATATCTATATTGTTACTATGCAAAACAACTGCTGAAGAGGTGTTTTTTGACTGGTCACACCTTAGTGTGAAGTTCTTACAGTGAAAATAATGAATAGATAATATCATATGGAAAAGGTACTGCTAAAAAGATATCATTTGAATAGTCAAACCGTAAGATTTCATCCACAGACTCCAAATTTAGAACTAGAAGTGCAACTGATACCTCTAGTATTGGCTCGGTGTGTTTTGCTCAAGGTACATCTGAGAGCGACGGTGCCCTATCAGATGAAAATCTAGTGTTGAAAATCTGCCAAAATTCGGACGTGCCTAAAAATTGTGAAATATAGATTTCTGACCGGTGAAACCACAAAGTATTGTTGATGTTTTCATTTAAAAAGCCTGGTGCCAAAAAGAACCTTCAGTAAATGCTGAAAGTTGGCATGTGCCGAGATCGGTCACTGACAGCACGTGTTTTAGCGTCTCAAATCTCTTCGAAACTGGACGAGAGTCCCTTAAACACTATAACAACAGTTGACGGCCAAACCAGAGCAAGTTTCTTTAAAAAGTTTCTTTAATCACTTATTTTCGATCTAAACTTCACACAAAAAAAAGACGACTTTCACTTCACACATAGACTGATACCCAATTTCGTGTAAGTCGGAAATCAAACAAAAAAACTGTTCTTTTCGTTGCCTCAGGGCATACCCAACGAAGGGAAATTGCCAACGTGGGTTATATCTCAATATAATTATCATTATAAGATATCAATGATATATCAATATATCAGTATTCAATATAAGATCGTGCTATTGACTTTATCAAAGATTTAAAGGGCTCTCTCAAGGACAATTTTTTTTTATTTTGCTTTTTGGAAAGTCAATGTCACGATTAGATGAAACAAATCTCTAACAATTATTAAACGTAAAAGGTTTGTTGCTTTGAAGATAGTTCCTACAGTCGGGCGCCAGCGACTTTTCATGCGCGTTTTCCGCTTTCTGTCATGTCTTTTTTAGTGACCGGCGCTGCGTGTTTAGCAAAGCAGTTTCCCAAATAACGTTAATTACTTTTTTCAAAAGTCGTTTTTAAATAACATGCAACTGCAAACGTCGAAGGCGAGGCAATTGGAGAATAATGTTATTTGAAGCTTATTTACTAGAAAAACAAACAAGTAAAAATTAAATGGGTTGTCATTTTTCTTTTTCTCGATTCGTCCTTTACAAATTTGAAGAGCTACATAAGGGCTACGTACGTTCCCGTGAAATTATTTTTGGCGGGAAACTGAGAAGGCGACAACACCTGTTTCCCACCATTTTCACACATATCACGCAGCTTCGACTAACTGATCTTTTTTGTTTTCCTTTTTTACTAAAAGCTTTTTTCTTTTTTTCCCTGGTTTGTTTTCTCCATTCTCTTTCCTGTTGTCGATTTGTAAGAGATAAACCCACTGAAAGCTTAAGTTTGTTGTATTTATTCTATGGTTAAACCCGCGACAGCATGGGTACAATTTAGGAAGAAAGCTCTTTCAATTATCATTATTGAGAATGTTTGAGAGATTATTCCGGTTATGTAATTGTGTCTCATATGCAGTTTACGGAAGATATATTTGAAAACCTGCCTGTAAACTATTTCAACATCACTGTATGGTTATTTTTGTCTACGAATGTCCCTCTCTTTGGCAATTTCAGTTGGTTAACAAAAGTTGTGTAAACCGTTTTGAAAATAGCCATTTTTCGCATCCGTGAATAGCTTCTCTTTTGCTACGCTTGTTAAAGTGAATAATTGTAAACATCCTGTTCTATTACTTCAGCGCTTGGAAGCAAAAATTGTTATTTGTTGTGAGGAAGATGGTGTGTATTCCGTCAATACAAAAACCGATTCTTTTAATTTTACTTCTCATTCGTTACGTGTGTGTTTCAATTTCCCCGTGATCGCACGTTTTAATTTTGTTCCCTTTAGCGCTTAAAAAAAAATTGTTATTTATTGTAAGGAAGATGGTGTATATTCTATCTGATACAAAAAGTGAATCTTTTAATTTTACTCCCCATCGTTATGTGTTTCAATTTCCCCGTGGTCGCGCGTTTTACTTTTGTTCCCTTTAGCGCTTGATTTTGTAACGCGTTACTCGCCAGTGCAACCGAAAATTTGGCTCTGTTAGAAACATTTTCTCCCGCCGATGTCAGGCGACATATGATATAAAGTGAAGGTGACATCTTTACTGATTACTCAGGACATGACATATCATGGCGCACTTTTAAATGACAGATTATATCAGTTAACTCAAACCATGCTTGTTTTAAAGCGACTTTATTTAATCTGAAGGCTGAACTAACATTTTCATCTCTTACTTAAGGGCTCTTGTAACCTAATGCTACATTCTGCGAAAGCACCGTAGTTAAGAATAGTCGCCTCTTGATCGTTGGAGAGACCATTTCTTGATCTTCAATCTACAACCTGTCCTTCGTTAATGTGTTTTACTGTGAAGAAACATAAATTGTTTCGGCTAATGTCAAAAGCTGCTTGAAGCTAACAATATACAAACCATATCACGTTTAAACCGACTTTTATCGCATTTAGATCACTTCTGGACGGATGTTTTTTTAATGCATGTATGCATATCATTTCTGCATTTTAAATTCGCTCTTGCAGACTCTTTAAGACCAGACACGTATTGTTTTCATTATTTTGGCTTTTAAGTTTTGCTTCTTATTTATCTCGCTTATCGGCGTAGCTTCTTCAAAATGTCGTGATATTGCGGAATTTTCAGTCAGAAATCTTTCCACGCTCAAGTGTCTTGCAATGAAATTTATCTTTCGTGGGTCTGCAGGGTTTTAATTTACAGGTGTTCCGAGTCGATGCGTGTGTATATAGAAGAGCTATTACTTAAAGTAAACCGAAGTTTTCAAATTTCCTTCATTTTCCCCAATTGCCGTAGGTTTTTTTCGGCGCCATCTCGCCGTGAAAACTGATTAACTATATATTTTGATTGCAATTGCTGTACATGGTATGTCAATTTGGATTCATTCATTTTTAACTACAGTGCGCTTTTGTTCTGTTTAATGCTATAGTTATCCAGCAGCTTCTTTTTGTATTTTTTTTGTTTTGTTCGTTATGTCGCATGATTGCGTTGTTTGACTTCAATTTTCCCTTCAGGTGAAACATTTAGGGTTCTTAAAAAAACTGTATGTCAAATATTTATGAAAAAAAGAAAAGAAAGAAACTGAAAGAAAATACGTTTTATTACCTGCAGTAATGCTAAACCTGGCGTTGTAGCTTGTCAACTTCATCACTGAAAAGTCTTTTAAAAGACTCCACAACGATAATTTAATTCCACCCTCTAATTGTGGCTGCTGGCGCTCTGAAAATGCCAGAAATTTGAATATCGCTTCGGTTCGTTTGTCCTTATCAACCTCCTATCCTATCCATTACAGCAACATTGTCATTCAAATGACACCGTGGATGATTGCTCTTGCTAGAACCCAAAATGACAGCTAGTGCATATTGTTGTCATTGGTGTTATTAGTAGTATCTCTATGCATAGATTTATTCCATATTTTACGTCACCGTGGTTTATGCGAGATATTTGGTGGTATCGTCTGTCAAAGAGTAGTCATTCTCTGCTGTTTCACCGCGGGAAGTGTTCTAGGTCTCACGCCAGTCAGTGGCAAATCGCTCGGTTAATTTTGTTCATTCGCACAGGGCCGTGTTAATTGACCAACAGGAGGGCTGTCGACACGAGATTTTTAGAGCAGATCGGAAGGCTAACCATAACGGCCTGATCATTTGTAACTTTTCATTTGGCGCTGTAACTGTTTCGAAGTCAATCAGACGATTAGTATTCAATTGGTGAAGTATTGCCCCGAGTTGATATCACGGCTGCGGTACTGATTTTTGGGCCAACTTACTCCTTGGTGCGAACGTTAAGTAACAACAACAACAACAACACAAGATTCGCATCGGCGGAAGTCTGACTTAACGTGTATCGATCATTTCAGGGGAAACTTTCGAACTTCAAGGAAGACGAGACCATTAGAGTTGAAGCTATCACGACGCTGAGATGAACGAAAGCGCGACAAGTCAAGTACAGTTTCTTCAGTTCTATATAGAACCCTTCCCGTTGCAGCTCGTTCGCTTCATCCTGGACGCTGCCATTTTCTTGTTCGGAGTACTTGGCAATGGTTTGGTCTGTGTGGTGATAATCAGAGAGAATCTATTCCGCTCTCTCGCTTACTGTCTTATTTTTAATTTGGCCGTTAGTGATCTTGGCGTGATATTATTCAGCCTTCCCTTTGGTGTACTCCGAACCGAGGACATTCCTTGGCCGTTTGGTGAGTTTGGCTGTAAAGTTCTGTACCCGCTAAGCGACATTTTCCATGGGGTTTCCATCGCGAGCATCACGGCCATCGCCGTGTTCCGGTACCGAGGGATAATCTCCGGGCATAGCATGAGCCAGAAGAGTGCGGTGAAGAAAGCCAAGATTGTAATTCTCCTTATCTGGTTTTTCTCTTTTATTTTATTTGTCCTGCCATTGTTCTTTGTCATGGCGTACGGACATGACAGACGAGGAGAAATGTACTGCCTTCCGAGGTTTCCGGACGTGTTGTACTACAAGTTGTACCAGGCGGAGACCGTACTGTTAACGTACCTCTTACCCCTGGGAATTATCCTTTTCACCTACCTCCGCATTCGTAGTAGGTTACACGAGAGTATTGCTCTTCATAGCAAAATCCGCCGGGAATCTCGCAGCACCACTGCCTCGCAGAGAGGCCGAACGCGAACCGCAAGTGATCGAAATTTCAAAGCGCTGAGAGTCCTGACGCCGGTGGTGGTGGTTTTCGCGGTTACTATGCTACCCTACAACGTATTCCGGGTCATCGACATATTTTTGGACACATCGCGATTTGAATACTTGCTGCTGTTCTTTAAGATCTGCATCCTATTTTTCGTCTGCAACAGTTCGGCTAATCCTCTGATATACGCCCTGTTCAGCGAGGAATTCCGCAAGGCGTTTAAGTGGCACCTACGGCATTGCTCCTTTTCCAAAAGTCCCTCTAGGCTATTCTCATTCTCTGAGAAAGTTACCTCGATTCGTCAGCGCCGGTCATTCTTTTCCCGCGCAAGCGCGCGAAATAAAGAGCAACCTAGTTCTTCGAACTCGGACGTTTTTGTGTAGTAGTTCGTCGCTTGTTAATCGGAAATCCCAATTGTCACTATTCGTTTTATTTCTCATTATTAACATAGCCTGCTACGCAAACTAATGTTAACATCGTATATTACGATGCAATTCAGAGTTTTACGTAAACCTTATAATGCGGTTTCAGTCTTTGGCTTTGCGAATGAAATCAAATGTGAATTAGGTACTGACCTCCGGGTATGACCGGTAGTTAGGTTTTGGTGGTGGTAATAATGCTATAACACATTAATCTGAGGTCGACATTATTTTAAAGTGTATTCGTCAAATTGAATAATGACGACAACTTTCATGTGGTTCCATTTCTTTCAATTTTATTGCCTGGTTTGGCAAAATTTGTACTTGGACCACGTTGCGTGTTGTTATTTTTATCATATATGGCCTAACAGCTGGAAGGCGTGTACTAGCCAAATTGGATTTTCCAAACACGATCACGTTAATGGATTTAAATAACGAGAATTCGCGGTTCCTGGAGTGAACAAAAGAATTGCGAAATATTGCAAAGTAAAGACGCAGATAACGTAAATATAAATGTAAGACAAAAGAAAGTACTCTACTGTAAACAACGTTGTACTTTAGGAATCTGGGGTAGCCCACCTCTCCCCCGCAGTTATTATTTTCAAACGCGCGGTGACCATCTCTAATAAAGAGAAAATATAGGTTCTATGAACAAGCTAAGTCTGGGGCAAAATTTTTAAGCGCACCCCTAAACGCGAACACTTTAAATGTGGCGTATACTACTCTCGGCTTCGCTTTGTACTGTGCGCTGTGCGCCCATGAGTTTTGTTGTCTTTTATTTGCTAAGAAAATCCGTTCGAATTGAATGTGTCAGTCAATTATCCAGATGTTTTCTTCCTAATTTTTTAGGCATATTTAATGTTTAGTGATAAAAATATTAAATTTTAACTTCTCAGGATTGTAGATCCTTTATTTAAATGAAAGACCATTTTACGCTGGTCAAGCTTATTTTAAACCAGAGATGTGAAATTAAAAGTATAGTTAATCATAAAATGTCGACGTTTATGTCTAACTGTACATTATCGCATGAACTCTCATTTGGGACAGAAATATTATAGTCTCATGCATTTATAGCTCGATATCACCTTGTGGCTTTGTTAATTACGCAAAGTAGTTTTTGTCCTATGAAAAATTGCTCAGTAATTTCTTCATTATGGGAAGATTCAAACATAGGCGTTCGACATGAAATGACTCTTCAGAATGTATTTTTCAGGAAGTTTCCTCTTGTTCTCTAGAAGAAGTGCAGAGTTGTTCGCGTTGAAAGAAAAAAAGTAGCACCGCAAAAAAAAATTCTGGTCAGTGGCTGTCGTCTGTTGAAACGGTAGCATTAGACAGAATGAAACGCAAAAGCATATGAAGAGGCCCGCGCGTGTCGAGATTTTTGGGGGGCGCTACAGTGTCTCTAATCTGTAGAACACTGGCACCTATTTTCACAGTAATAATACGGAAAATCCCAAGACTATTTTATTTGTCAACGACAAGAAAAAAGAAAACGGCCAACTTTTGGAACTATTCAACAATGTCAATGTCTCTTGAGTGAGAAAGATGTATTCAAGATCTGTCTTTTTGTCTAGGACAAAACTGATACTATTAAACTTGTTCATACTGCATTCTTTCTTTAAGCCATATCACTTGATTACCTATCTCAAATTTAATATCAGAAGCTCCACTTGTGTAAGTTCCCTGTTGGAGTGCCAGTGGGGTTGGGGGGAGGGGTCTGAGAGTTGTTGTAACCCTTATCTCAGGCCTGAACGGCACAAAACCCCTGCCTTTTCGGCGGTACATACCTATATGGCTTATATAGGGGAGTACTTCCCCTCCCCCCAAACCGCCATTTTTTGTTGTCCCATTTTCTGTCAAATAGATTGTCCTACAACCCTACGCATTATTATCGGTAGACAAAACAGGACAAGACAATCTTTTTATTTGGGGCCTTATACCATCTGTTGTATTAACCGCTTTCCAAAAAAATATAGTATATACTGTACTATAGTATATACTAGTTATTCACTCCACGGTATCTCTAAAATGTTTTCGCTAGTCTTTCCTTACCCTTAAAACCTTTACAGTGCTTCTTGTTTAATATTCAACAAACAAATGAAATGAGCTCCATAAAACTCCCCACGTTATGGAGACTTAATGTTGTTTCTCACCAATACTAGCTGTTGCAGGCGCATTGTTTATGTTGGCGTCTAAAACGGGGAAAACATTTGGCTGTGTTCAGTGTTTTGTGTCATTTTTAAAGTTAAAGTTTATGCCCTCGAGAGGGCAATTTATATATATATTGAATGTGTTGTGGCTACTCTGTATATCCACAATGATTTTCGTGACAGACACATTTGATTTTTGATAACCAGATTTTACAACTGTTAAATTAAGATAAACCTCTAACCTCGGGATATTGTGTTATTATCTATAAACAGCAATTGAGGGAAAAGTTGAGGGAAAAACAGTAACAATATTAAATCGATAAAGTGACTTTAATTAAAATTTTGTTGCTACAAATCAACACGCAAGTTACTTTTTCTTGTTTATTTTCTTTTTTTATACTGCTCAAGAATCCCTGACGTTTCGCCACACACACGTAAAGTACCTAATAAATTTCTCTTGCCATTTTCCTTTCCAAAGTAATTAATGTTGACATTTCGTAAACTTTGCTATTTTAGTATTAACTTTTTGACAGTAGTCGTTCTATTTTGTCATTATTTACACCGACGCGCTCCAGATCAAAGCGTGGCTATATTTTTTACTAAATCTCCCTTCCTGCTCATTTTTTGGTCTGTACATGGAAAATGCCCAAAACAAAACGCTTTTGCTGTCTAACCTTTTTTATCTTTTGATTTCCGTGTCGCAAATTGTGACCCTTTCACCCAAGATTGTTACTTAACAAGAATGTTTTTTTTTTGGTTTTCTTCAATTGAAAGATTTTGAACAGTTGGAATATTACTGTAATTACGTTTATGAGCTTTACAAGGTGGTTTTAACTTTGGACTATGTATATGAATTCTTTCATGACTTTTGGTGACCTTTGGTGTCGATTCAACTAAGCCGTTCTTTCCCGTAGTGCTTTTTACAAGGTCGTGGTTCTAACTTTTAAGTCTGTGGACGGATGAAAACCCTGAAGTGTGACCACTCATATAGAAAGTGCTGAACAGTACTTTCCTACAGCGTCTTTTCTTTTTGTTGTCGTTGTTGTCTTTCCTTTTTTTTTTCAAACTTTTCCAAGAAAAAAAAGGAAGAAGAAGAATTTAGAGCGTTTTGTTTTCAATTTAATCTTTTATTTGTTATATCAATAGTTTAATATCAGAGGCCCTTAGCAGGGGAAGTGAACCTGTTTACTCTAATGTGGCAGTTATGTCTGGCTTTTAGCGACATAGGAAATTGATTTTAGAGCGTTTTGTCGTTGTCATGCTAGGTGAAGCAAACATATCATTCTGTGAATGTGCTGAGTGTTTTGATAAACCTTTGATTGCCATGCCTTAAATAGTTTTTACTTCTCGTCATCGAGTTAATGCGCTTAGATCCGCTTGAAGATGAAGGGCCAGCATGTTTCATCCCAAAAAATTGGCTTTGTCAGCGTAGGTTTTAGATAAATCTTTTCATTGCTTTATCCTGAGTAATCGGATTCGTACTAGCAAAGATGGTATTGTCTAGCCATTTTTGACAAGGATGGTTGGTGATTTGTATTTTTCACTCACATCTTTCACATCTTTTCTTTGCAAAGGAGATTTCTAAGAAACCTTTTCTACAGTTTTTACGCCATATAGAAATATCATGAGCAATGGTATGAGATTTTTTTTTTAGCATTAAGCGTTATACCCCATGCGATGCCCAGTTACACAGAACTTAGAACGAGGAAAGAAACTTTTGCTTTCAAGCTGGTAAGATATCCGATCTGTGTGTGTTCTCTTATACAAACTGCATTCTTCCTTTGTTTGCTAACAATTCAATGCGTTTTCAGAACCGTGAAATTGACCGGTTCGTTAAAGGATCTAAACTGGATCTCGTAAAACGACAGTCTTGGGTAAAGTTGCCTCTAGAAAAATTGTTCGCGTATAGAAGTTATAAAATACCATATTTGACAGATGGCTAATTAAAATCGGATTTTTTATAGATGCTATCTTAGGTATATGTTGAATATTGAATATGATGGCATCCCACTACTGAGTTTAAACGGTATTTCGTAATGTAAGTTTCGAGTTCTCGTTTGAGAATTGATCAGTAAGGGAAAAGATCAAAGGTCACTTGAAAAATTCTAATTACAGCATTTTATCAGCTGCTGATTCACACAGCAATTCAATAAATGATTAAACTTAGATCAATTCTTAATCTTCTTTCAGTCAAGAAGCGTTGACTGAAACTAAAAAATGAAAATATTCGCGGACGTAAACAGTTTTGAAACACTTGACAAACAAGGAACAAAAGGTATTCAGAAAGAGACTTACAGCCTGTTTATGTGGAGGTGGGCGACCCCAAGTAGGTGTGGTAACGCGCTTAGGTGAGGTAACTCGCCTGTCCATATAATCTCTTATTTTAATTTGATCACGTTTACATGTTAGGTGGGGTGACCGGCCGCGGGTTACCTCACCTACGTGGGCCCCCCGGTTCCATGTAAACAAGCCCTCACATGCATTTAAAAAGACACGAGGAGCCGGATATGTATAAACTTGGTCTTTATGTAGAAGGGCTTTGTGACGAGGATATTGCTGTCTCAGGTCAATTCTGTGCTAGACTTCGAGTAGTCCCCTATTTGTCCTCAGGATAGTAGAGCGAGCGAAACGCGAGCGCACGTGAAAATCACCCCACGCGAGAAAAGGCGACACGCGGCTGGGAGAGAGAAAAATCATTTTTCTTTCTCCCCGCCGCGTGTCGCCTTTTCTCTCGTGGGGTGATTTTCACGCGCGCTTGCGTTTCGCTCGCTCTACTATCCCTGAGGACAAATGGGGGACTACTAGTAGTCTAATTCTGTGCTGAAGTCATTACGTAGTACCTTTACCCATACACAAAATACCCCTGTAGATTTGTGAAGAATTTATCAAACAAATGTTATCAGGGAGCACTCACCATATCAATTCTCGTGGGGGGTGGGGGGAGGGATTTTTGATTTTTAGCATTGGCCCAACTTTTTCAAGTGTCAGTCCATTTTCATCCTTACCTTCCGTTTAGAATTCAACATTGCCAAAACAGTCTTAAAATATTAAAACATTTGACAATTATGAAAGATGATAAAAGATTTGGAAACAGATAAGCGCGATCAAAAATTTGAGGGATTACCGACAATCTTGAAGTAATCAGGTGTTTATGTTGTCAAATGGTTTGAAATCTCGACATGAAATGATATGATAATTCCCAGTCCTACGTCTGTATAAAGACCATGTCTTCTATTTTTCTGAAATTTTGCGTACAAACGAGCTGCAAATTTTAACGTGAAAGCGTAAACAAGACAAATTTTTTTTTTCCGACCCCCTCCCCCCTCTCTTATCTGTCTGGATAACCCCTTCCCCCTCTCCATTATCTGATGGTCTGGATCTACCACTGGAAAGTAGAACGAGAACACAAGACAAACCTCTTTTTCTTTTGCTGAACTTTCATACAGTTCTTTACAACGTGGCCCACATTTGACGAATGAAATGAGATGGAATAAGCGCAATAAAGTTTGAGGCCTCTATCCCCTTAAGGAAATTTCCACTCTCCAGTTGTACATCGAACGTAGACAAAATGAGACTTATTACTTGAAGGTCACGAAAAAAAGTTGAACCTCGCTCACAGGCAAAGAAATGACCAAGCAGGCAAAAGAACCAAGCAGGAAAAATAAAGAAGTTCCTAATTAATCAGCTATTTTCAGTAGAATGTTTAAGGAGGCATTGGAGCCACTTCTTGGCAAATTGTAACTGTAATTAACCAATCTTAAAGGGCGCTTCCCATTTGTCAGAACTGACCGGAAAGACCATTCCGGTCGTTATGAGAAATTCACTTTTAATCATAACTATTCAGTCAGATCAGTGAAATTTTAAATAGTATGTACCAATGAGAGGGTTTTTCACCGAAAACGTTTCGAAAATATAACAAAGTATTTTTCATTGTCAAAATGAAATCAGTTACCTTTCAGCCTTTCCTGGGGCTTCGTTTGATTGAAATGGAAAATATACGTGACCCACTGTTTCCGTTTTGCGCAACTAAGCAAGCAGAACCGTACCATTCTGGCTGTAATTTCCTGATCATGTAGTCGTTGTCGAATGGGCTCTTCTTAATGGTATTCTAATCTTTCGAATAAACCTGCGTCAGACAGAATATGACTGAGGCGCCATTAAAGTTTTTGTGATCACTTTTCGAGTGTTTGTTTAATTAAGTTTTTGATGGTTATATGAGTTTCCTTTACGTATGTCCTCTCGCGCGCGACAGTATCCATTATTTAACATTGAGATTTAGTACTACTTTGAAAAGTGTGAGAGAACAGAGACAACTGTGTTAAAAAAGGGTCTCTGACTAAGGTCGGAAAAGGTCGGGCCGTTGTTGTTTTGCTATTTTTTTTTCTTGGAAGTTGCTCAAAAGACTGAAAAAAACAGTGACTCTCGCACAATTTGTAATATAACTTATTGTTCGGTAAGAAAGAGGAAATTTCTGCTTGATCATCAATTAAAAACTACGGTCAAACCTCCATGTGCGAATACCTCTCATAAGTAACCACCTGCCATAAACGACCGCCGATCCAAAACACCATTTTTGCCAGTCAAAGCCTTAAAGTTGGAACCTCCTGTATGCGACCGCGACCACTTTTGGGCCTGACGGTTAATGATTTTCTATTGTTTTTAACCTTGACGCATTGTCTTATCTCTATGTTCGCTGTGTGCACTATGCTACTTAGAATATACAAAGAACATTGGTGACAACTACACATGTCGTAACTTAGACATTGCATGCAATGATTTATCTTCCATAAAGTAGATGTGCCTGGACCTCTTCTCGTAAGAGGCCCCGTGAGGTTCGATTCTTGTAAGCGACCACCTCCCGTAAGCGACCACTCAGTCTCTGCATTTTGGGTGGTCTCTTACGGGAGGTTCGACTGTATTGTAATTTTAGCGTAGTTGGCAAAAATCTGAGCAAATTCCCGGTATACTCTCCTTTAAATTGTACCAAAAACAAACTATCACCGCGACCTGAAGACACAAATTCGGGACTTGATAGTAATGCACTGCGCGCCTGGCTCACGGTTTGAAAAACAAGCGTGTATCCAGCCATCTTGAAGTATTAGCTTCAAAGGATGCATAGCTGTTCATATCGTTCCCCCCTTTTTTCCCCTCTTTCTTTCCCCCTTCTAATTGCCCATAGTATCCTTGTTTCTTAAATTGATTCTACTCAATTATTTATAATTGTATTGTCACAACCCAGACAACCTTGTGTTTTATGAAAACTTACATGTGAGTTTATGGGGAAGCTTTACTTTTGTTGATGGGTTGCCTTTGTTTGGGTGAGCAATGAGCCCATAACCTGGAGCGAATAACTCAGTCCAATACATGGCTTAGATCACGTATTCGTCGCTTGCATACCGTAAAATTCCGAAAATAAGCCCCTCCAAATATAAGCCCCCCATACTCGTAACGCAAAAAACCCTCCGTTAAATCGCCCCTCCGAATATAAGCCCCGCCGGGGGCTTGTACTTGGAAATTACCCTCAAATACAAAGCAAAACAAAGAAAAAACGGTAAATTTCATTCCAACTATGAGGCTAGCCCAGTCGATTTTGAAACGCAAATTTCCCTCCGTAGATAAGCCCCTCCGAATATAAGCCCCTCCAAAAATAAGCCCCTAAAAAAGGGCCTTTGAAAAATATAAGCCCCGGGGCTTATTTTCGGAATTTTACGGTATCTCCCAAAACGCACCTTGTTTGCCCCACACTTTTGCCGCACCAAATAAACACTGCCGTACCAAATTGATTCAGACGCCACTCTTTTGCCGTACTTAATTCATCAGTTAGGTTCGGCACATGAGTGGAGCGGCGTCTGAATCGGGCCTTAGATACACTTTGGAGCACTATGGGCTCCTGGGTAGGTATTGTAACCCCAACACCAAGCACCGTTGTTATGGTTACTTGCAGATCCCAACCAACCGTTCCACCCAATGATGGGTCCTCCTCCCGGCATGCCCTGGGAACCAGGAATGGGTCGCGGGTTCCCACCTGGATTTCGCGGCGGCGAAGGTTTCCCAGGCGCACTCGGCAGACAAGGCAGCGAGAGTCCTGATGACGATAGCGAGTATGGCAGTAGCGAAGAAGACAGAAAACGGGATCGAGACTCGCACAGACGGAGGGACAGAGATCGGGAAAGATCTCGAGAACATCGCGAAAGGTAAGATCATAAAAGGCAAGGAAACCTTCAACTTATTAATTGGGTCTAGATACTCGAAGAAGAGGAGGGACGGAAATCGGTACAGATTCTGAGAACATCGCGATAGTTAAAGATCATAACAGACAACGAAACCTTCAACTTTTCAGTTGAGTCTCGAGTCTCGCTCAGACCGAGGGACAGATATCGGTACAGATCCCGAGAACATCGCGATAGTTAAGATCATAAAAGACAATGAAATCTCCAACTTTCTATTTTGGTCTCGAGACTCACAAAGACGGAGGGACAAATATCGGTACAGATCCCGAGAACATCGCGATAGGTAAGATTATGAAAGGTAGTGAAATCTCCAGCGTTTTTGCGGTTCTGACTCATAATGTGAGCATCACGAGGTTCTGTTCTTTTTGCAGGAATCGTGACCGGTCTCCGCGTAGAGAACGTGACCGTGACAGAGATAGGCGTGACAGAGAAAGACGGCATCGTGACCGCGACAAAAGCGACCGTGACAGACGAGAGGTAAGGACACCTACTTAAACGACCCATTTCTATTGGCTGCTACTGATGTTTTCCAACGCTCACCAGAAACGAAGGCCAGCTCAAGTTTTGAAATGGCGAAATTGTAGACAAGATTGAATACACAAATGTTTTCATAGAAATAAAGAAAGGCACTTAACGCCTTACCCTTTTATTTTAATTACAGTCTTTTTCAGCTCTTCTGCAGCGCTTTTCTTGCGTAACATGTTTTCACTTTGAGCTGTAACTGGTCTTAACCCAGTAACTTTGTTAACTATCATCAGCGTGAAAAGATGACAATGGTGATTTTTTCAAATTAGAAATATTTTTTTCTTTCCTCTAAATTCAGCGTTTAATTGGCTGTTTTTCCTCCTTCAGGAACGTTCGTCTCGAAAAGACAGAGATAAATCCAAGGAACAGAGAGAAAAGTAAGTGACTACTGCTTCAGTTTTTTATGCTTTTGTGCTCGTGTGTGTTTCCTTAAGGAAAGGGAGACCATGGAAAAGAACGCGATATTTGCATCAGCAAAGGAACTTTGAGAAAACAGTTTGATTGGCTTAGCATTAACCATGTCTTGTTTGGCGAGCGTGCAAATTGTTCAGAAAACGGTGCCTTGCATTTGCCTCTGGATAATCGTGGGGAGAGAGTGCGCAAACATAATCTCGCGCAAGGAAGTGCGACGAACGGGACATCCAATTTTCTCTTCTTCTTACCTCACTCCCTCCCCCTTCTCTTCCCTCAATCGCACATACCCACTGCCGTTTTCTACCGTTTGGTCGTATCCTCCCATAACGAGAGGAGATTTTTTCGTAGTTTGACGTGAACGTCAGCTCGACGATCCCTTCGAGAAACGAGTCGCCACTTTCTTCTGCTAGCGACATTGCACTTCATGTGTGCCATTCACATTGCTTCCCTTCCGCAATTAGCCTGCGAAAACAGCCGTTTCTCCACGCTCCTCTCCGCTGGGGACATCTCGCGAGGATGAACGTCTGCGTCTCAGCGACAGAAATTTCATACTGATGACGTAATATCTGTCCGGAATCCGGTCATAAGCGCTGATTGGACGACGGAGTAGTTGCATTGTTTTAGCTATTGTTTACGAATGACAGACCAGACAAAAGACAAAAGGCTACAAAGGTCAAATGTAAGCGCGATGAATCCATAACAAAACAGTCAATGTTTGTGGAATATGTTCTTCTCTAGAAGAAGCATTTGAGTTTTGCTCGATCTCGTTCGCAGATGAACACAACACTTTACCAAAATTGACCAGGAGTAACATAAAATTGATCAAATGTGCATTTGGAACCCCGTGACTACCGGATTTATTTTGTAAACATTGATTTACGTCATCAGTATGAAATTTCAGTCGCCAAGTCGCAGACGTTCCCCCTTGCAAAACGTCGCCAGCGGCGAGTAGCGAGGAGCAACGTCTGTTTTCGCAGGCTATTCCGTGATCCACCAGTTTTAATACCCACGACTTGTTCCCTCGTAGCTTAGTCGGTAGAGGAACGGCAGATCTACTCCGAAAGTCTTGGGTTCCAATATCACCGAAATTAGAAGATTTTATTTATTTGTGTCGAGAACTCTTTTTACCTCTCTTTGTCACTAAGGCTAACTGGGTTGTTTTCCATGCTTCCAGAAAAAGACACAGCAAGAATGCCAGCTCCGAAACTTCCGGCGGAGGCCCGGAGGAGGGTGAACTAGTACCGACAAAGAAGAAGAGCCGAAGGACGCGCGAGTCGAAAGAACCGAAGAACGAGAATACTGAGCCAAGAGAGGAGGGTCAGCGGACTCCTACACCATGAGCATGTGCTACTTTGTGGTTTTGATGGGCAGACAGATCGCGAGCGCGAAATTATGGCGCAGTCGTGGTTTCTTGAGATTTGGTGCTCAGTGTTTTCGGACTATGAGCGTTACTTTTACGATGTCGTTAAAACTTTGTACAGAGCAAATGGATGCAGAAGAGAGATGTTCAACTCGGCAATTGTTTTACCAAAGAGGAAAAGGTCTCTTGAAAGTGCTGGACAAGCACTAAAAGGAAACTTGAGTTAAGCGGACACGGGGGGCGAGTCACGCGGATATCCGCTTGATACAGGTTTCACTCTACAGCGACTTTGGTGTCCATGTTGTCTCTGATCGAACATTCTCTCGAGATGAAACACGTCTATTTTGCCATCGCGAATGCGTCAATTAACGTCAATTCGTATATTAATTGTCACAACAACCACAGAAAAAGTTTCGCAAGACCAAACCCGTGTACAGAGGTCGTAGCAATATTGTGTATATAAGGTTGTTGTACGAAACCTTCACCTGTTATAACCCTTGTCTCTATTTCCTGTACATCACTTTATCGCACTATTAGAAATTATACAGAAAAACTGAAATAAAAAGTACTTTTTTCCTTTGATGTACTTCATCTTGTGCAATAGCGTAAAGCAAGAGCGAACTAGAAAAAATATATATTTTCATTTTTCTTTCTTTTATGTCGATATATTTCAGGTTTTAATGTTACTCTAGAGTATGGTTTTGACAAGCTGTGATAGTAGATCCTGGTTTCTTTTATCTTGCTCGGTACCCTCTCAGTTTTGGTAGGCTTTTCTGAGCTTCTGATTCCAATTAACAAACGACTAACTTCAAAAACATTTAAAATCGCTAATACTGCAGCAAAGCTTGCTAAGCATCATCCACCTTTTAATTTCTCTTCAGTCAATGTCGAGCGCGCGTATAAAAATAAAAACCGCAAGGGATTTATTGACCGCCAGCGTATGGGGTCGCTGTGGGGGAAAACACACACTATTTGAGATAGCACTTCCTTGCATCGTTAATGCTGGTGGTTTTAGAGTAAGGTTCTGACGTTTTTATTACTGAAAGACCGCCGTGCGTGCATGGTGTTGTTTTCTCGTGTGTCAAGACTACAGTTGTAGGTCGGGAGCTACTGCTACTGTGACGTCACAGTGGTATGTGTTCCTCCCTAATGAAATGTGTTTCCCCGACCCGGGAACATATATCACTAGGGATATGTGTTCGGGGGAACACATGTCACGGGCAAGAGAACCTCTCTTGTCACGGGGGCTGGAAACAGTTCGTCGCTATTTTGTTTAAGAACTCGTGAACTCTATTATATTTTTAACAACAGCAAACTAAAAATTCTATTTAAGGTGGCTCCCTGACGTTTTTGTATTGTCCTTTGGCCGAGATTTTACTATTCTTTTGATGCAGGGAGGCTCAATCACAGTAATGTCTTTCCTTTCATTTAGCATTCTCAGGAAGGTCAAGGATGAAAACGAGAACGTCTGGGATGACTTCATTAACGGCGCCTTGTTATTAACACCAAAGTCTCAAGCACCACCAAGTTTAGCCCCTTCTCTATAATGTTCTGTCGTCAACCATGACTACCATTCGAGGTTGAAAAATTTTTGCAGCAGACCGAAAATGGGGAGGAAATAAACAGGCTGGCAACTGAACTGACATCTTTGCAAGCTTACTTAGACAAGATGGCTACGACAAGAAATGTTCTGTTTCCCAAGGTAGAACGCAGCATAACCATAGCCCAGGGGAAACAAAAAAAGCAATACCAAAAGACGAAAGGAGAGCTAAAGAAAAGCTTTAAGAAAGGAGATGTTATGCTGCGACGCAACATGCTTCAGAAAAGTAAGCACCTTACACAATTGAAGAAATTAACTTTGAAAACAGAACACGTCAGCTACGCGGGCAAGATGGGAAGATTTTAAAGCGAAAAACTAATCTGAAGGATGTTAAGATTTACAAGCCACAGCAAGTGAGTTCAGGAGACGACCAAGATGGATTGTCGTAGCCCAGAATGGAGAAGTGGAAAGTCCACTGTCTGCAGCGGTACCGACTGCAGCACCCCAACAGGGTGAAGCTGTCAGGCCTCCACTCAACCACACGCTCGAACAGGCCAGAGATACCGTGCCTTCCCCGTTTTTTACCAGTGTACAAGGAGAAGCAACCAGGCCTTGAGTGACTGAAGCACCCCAACAAGGTCATTCAGCCAGGCATCCACCCAACAGCACGCCCGAACTGGTTGAAGTAACCAGGCCTTCAGTGTCTACGGGACCCATAAAGAGGGAAGCAACCGGGCCTCAACCCAACAGCATGCCCGAACAAACCATTTAAACGCCGTGTTTACGCAGTCTTTGACAGTTGTACACGGAGGTGCAGCCCAACCTCCACCAACCTTCTCAATTCATCAGAAGAGAACCACACATCCACTGTCCTCCTCACCCCATGAGAAAGAACCACCCAGTCTGTTACCGACCTCCACACCTCAACAGAGCAGAACAGACCAATCAAAGAAGCCTGTACCGTCTTTTAGAACCACAATCAGAAGGCAGTGAACATTCGCAGACCTCACACCCATGTAACAAAGTGCTAGCAATCACTGAAGAGGAAATCTCCTCCTGTTTCCAAAATTGTATTTGAGATCAGCGGACTGCCATACTAAATGGCTCCCAGGAAACTGGCAATACAAGCAAAAAATAACATCCAAAAAGCAAGGAACTTTGAAACGGCCAGTTCCTACAGATGGGAATGCTGAAGTTCAACATCTAAAACGTTCACAAATGGACAAAAAACCTGTCCTTAAAATGCAAAATCCTAAATTCAAATTATATAGATGAAAAAGACAAAGGAATCCGTAAGAACGCAATGCTCACTGACAAGCACATTCAGATGACTCAAGAAGTATCATTTAAGCGCTTAGCACTGAAAAGTATAAGCGCTATATAAATATTTTATTATTTATTATTTATTATATTATTGCAACAGCAGTTCCCCCTAATTGAGGGGCTTTGACAACCATTAATAGGAAAGGTACAACAGCTCGCAGTGGTGAGACAAGAATTTTTTCATGGTTCTTCACACTGTTGGGCTTCACTGGGTTTGTGTCAGCAACGTTGGTTGCTGCAAAGCCAACCAGGTTAAACTTTTTGGCAGCCTCTACAGTGGTATATTAAATTTTACAAAATAGCATGCAGCCCTTTTATTTGTTGAAGGTAGTGAGAAAACAGTAGTCATCATACCACCCGCGGCACAACAGTCAAACGGAACGGACTGTGGTGTACTTCCATTAGCCTTTGCTACAGCACTCTGTTTTCAACTTGATACATCATCTTTGAAGTGGCATGCAGTAAGGGCACACCTATGGAAAAAGCCCTTGATGAAGGCTATATGGACATGTTTCCTTATGAGGAAATGTCAAGAGAAGACACAACAAAGGTTTTTCACATTACCATCTACTGTGATTACAATTCTAGCAAACAACAAATGGCAGAGTGTACATCTTGCAAGAATTGGTTCCATCAGGAGTGCCAGCAAATTTTTGATAAAGTGTTCAAATAATTGAAGCCAGGTTTCAGTTGAAATGCAAAGCCCGCGAGCTGAGACAAAACTGGGAAATAAATGAATTAATTATACCAATAATAGAGATAACTTCCGTATTTGTGATCGGTTTGTTCAGGTTCAGGTAACACATATTTCATGACAAATTCTTTTTATTGAAGTATTCTCTGTGAAAGCACAGGTAGCCCAGGCTCTATAAATCAATGTCACATAATTTGAGAATCGCCATAACATTGCATCATAGTGAAGTAAGGGTTTGTATAGGGGAGAAATATACAATATTTCTTAGCAAAAATATGAACGTGTTCGACTCTATTAGATATGATCATCTTGTAACGTTAGTTTCACTTATTTGGCCAAGTTAAGCGTTTTCCTTGTCAAGCAGCATGCTTTTAATCCCATGTATCACTTGTTTGGTATTATTAAAACAGTGACATTGTTGGCCATTCCTTGAATGCTGACTCTGCTGTTAACTTTTGTTTAAGAACTTTTTCTCAATAAGGAAAAACCTACTTCATACCTACTTTAAACACACTACTAAGTTTGTTTAGGGGAATAACAGCGAAACTGTAAACTCGATCGATAGTCCAGCGCGCTTTGTTGTCGGTTAACAATACTCGATTGCACTGACTGTCGCTTGCGTTTTGCAATTTTAGTATTAAAAGGACAAATGCGATATGCGAGGAAAACAAAAACCCATGATGCTATTTTTTCAATGATTGGATTATTTCCTCTGCCAGCTCGCTTCTCGCTTCTAAAGTGGCTTTGGGAAAATACTGCAACTATCCGCTGACCACAACGCAAGGTGACCGCTTTGCAAGTTGTGAAAAACATCGTTACATTACATTACATTACATCACATCGGGTGCAAAAATACGCAAAGAGAATAGGGTTAAACCAAGCTTCCTTTACATGGCTTAATTAGTGTCCTTCTGAATGGGAGCGCTTCTCAAGCTCAACTTAAATTCCTGCGTAAAAAAATAAAGCTTTGTTATTATCATCATCTTCATCGTCGTCGTCGTTGTCATCATCATCATCATCATTATTATTATTATTATTATTAATGAGCAGAAAGGTGTAGTTTTTCCATGCTGCGACACATGTATGTTCCATTGTTACACTTTCAACGGACCTATAGGGCCAAGAATCCAAATTTTTTAAAAATCCACTTTGTACTTAAAAGCGAATGTTTAAACGCCAAATTGGAACCAAAGAGAACTTATTGAACGGCCATATTCTGAATTTTATTCGTTCCTCGTTCGCTTATCTTATATTAGCTTTTTTGCCTATTGACTTCGATGCTAATCAGCCGTTGGAAGTCCTGCAATTATAAGCCCAACACAGAATTCCAAGAATTAGTTGGTTTTGCACACAACATGAATTCAAAGTAAATAAATAAATAAATAAAAAGACTTGAGTTGACAATTACCCTTCACGACATAACAAGTGGTTTCTTTTCCTCATCAGTGCAATCATAATTGTTAGAAGTCTAAAATTAAGAAACAAAACAAATGTTTCCAGCCATACATTACAGGAAATAAAAAGCAACTAAAAAAAGTTTGCTAAACTAGTACTAGGTGAAACCAGTCTAAACAGCGTCACTGAAATGAAGCACAGTCAAGGTCATAAACACAGCCGTTGTATGGTAACAAAGTGGCATATCCCACCGTTTTCAAAGGACTGCGGAATCGGAAACCTATGTCGCTATCCCTAATAGCCAAACTTTAAATTAAAGGCAAGGCAGATCGGACAACTTAGTTGGGTAACTAGTCATATGCACTATATACATAATGGTTAGGTAAAACTAACCTTTATCAGGGGCATTTTATCTTTATCTTTTTTATTATTTTGAATATTGTAGCCGTTTATTCCAATTAGATAGTTTTTCTGAGCCCCTTATGAAGGTTAATTTTGCCTTACCGAAATATTGGGCAAATAAATTACCCATCCATAGCTCGATCTCCGTTCAGCCTTGTCTTGTGTTTTTTTCTATACTACTGTTCCCGATCTACACCAAGATCCAGCTTCTCTTTGCTGCTGTTCGCTGCCAATCCTGCATTAATGCGCTTTAAGTCGAGCCGAACATCTAAAAGTTGGTCTAGGCTCGGTTAATAATTAAGATATTACTGTACTAGATAAGAGGGCAATTCAGCCAACACAATAGCAGGAAACATGTTCAAATAACATAGACTGTTAAACACCGTCAGTTACGATAGTGAAATTGCATGTCCTTACCTTTTTATGATAGACAAATATAACTGCAGCCAAAAGAATGCACACGATGCCAATACCAAGCAAAGCATATTGTCCAAAATCTAATAACCGCAGAGCACCGTACACCTTGCTGCGGAACTCCTCAGCTTTCTTATCAGTGATGAGTGCACTCTGTAGAATGAAAGGCGGTGTTTAATACACAAGAGTGTCTTACTTACTCCGGGGTAGCGAGGTAAGTGGGGCAAGTTCAGGGTCTTAGGTGAATCCCGCTTGCAACAATTTAGTCACCCAAATTATATTAAGGCCCCGTCGACATTTATCCGTCGAGCGAAACGCGCGAGAAACAAAAATGAACGCGCGTCTCGCAGCTCACTAAGACCCTGTTTACATGGAGTGGGGGACCCCGGTCTAGTGGGGTAAGTTTCTTTTGTTTTGTGTCCCCCAGAGCGTGAAAACAAAAGAAACTTACCCAACTAGACCGGGGTCCCCCACTCCATGTAAACAGGCCCTAAATCAGCAAAAAAAAGAGAGACTGATACCAGTCTATAAAGTCCGGATTATGCTTCCGCCTACACCTTGGCGAACAACAGAACCGAATCCCCAGTATTTTATTCTTTATACTACTACATGAGAAATCTCTGCAATTTGATTGGCTTAGAGCAGTGGTATTTCAGCTTAATTTGAAATACCTACATGTAAAAATTACAAACCTTTTGTGGGTAGTAGTATAAACAAATAATAGCATGATTTGTATGAGATGTTTGGCATAAATACCACTTGTGATATTTATGCCAAATATCACTACAAATCATGCTATTACCTATACTAAACAACCTCCTTAGGTGGATTTCCACCGTCGCGTAATTTTTACTTGCGTACGAAGTCATCAACTTGCCTTTCAAAGATGAAATAACTTTCATTTTGTTCTAAGCCATCTGTGCCTTTTAACCGCTTTTGATGAGAGTTTAAAAATTATACATCTGCTTAATAGTTAGCCTGAGAAAACGGCCGACATTTCGCCACGCTTTCACAGGTTTCCCCGCGAAATGAGGTCGGAGAAACAAACGCAGAAATTCCATAATGATGACGTGTCACTACCCAGATCTCAATAGTGCTTCTGATTGGTCCTGCCCCGACGGAAATTCAGGAGGAATACTCAGATCTGAAGAGTCACACGTCATCAGTTTGGAATTTTTACGTTCGTTCCCAAAACGTAATTTCTCGGGGAAAACAGTGCTGGTGCCTCGACATGCATGTCGGCTGTTTTCGCTGGTTACTTAAAAGATTAACTTATTGCAACAGTCTCCCACCTCAGCAGCAAACATAACAGGAAGAAAAACTGGTTTAAACTTCCCAGTTGTTTGACTGTGAAAAAAGAAATAAAAGTTGATTACCAGACATGATATATGGTATGTCTTTGATGGCAATTGTTTGCAAGCCAGCATCCAACAGCAATTTTACACTTGTGTGCTCAGTGTCCTGGCCTTTGCACAGAAGCGAGGGTTGAGATGACCCTGTTTTTCACATGTAAATGATCATGATCGATGACTTGCATGTAAGCATTGAGAATTTAACCATGATTTGCAGATAAAAAAGAAAGGATTGTAAGAAAACAAAAGTCACTTCCAGCTTGACGTCTTCTCAAAGGCCAAGGTCCCGTATCTCGAAAGGGCCCGGTGCCTTTTCGGACCCGGAAAGCTGTTCTATGTCTATAATCTTTGCATTCAAGATCAAAGTTTGAATAATTTTGAAAACGATACTCTGAAACTAACAGTTAACGAAGCAAAATTGACAGGTTTGTGAGTCATGAGCTGTGCCACTATCCCAGGTTTTGATTTAAACATTTCCATTCGGGCGCGAAAAGTTACCGGGCCTTTCGAGAAATGGGGCCCCAGGGCACAGCCATTGAGAACACAACTCGTGTTGGCACGAAAAGCTACCCGTTATGACGTGAACATAACCTTAGTGAGACTTACTTTATTTTTTTTTTTTTTTTTTTTTTTTTTTTTTTTTTTTTTATTTTTAATAATTTTTTTTTTATTTATTTACAACACAAGCACTACTTACAAAATGTTACTTAACACAACTTACAGTGCTTACACTACTTACAAAACCGTACTCATTACTTTTTTTACATAGAAAGAAGAAAAGAAAGTTACAATTACAATTATTGACGACTAATAACTTAAACTAAAGTGATTACTAACATAATTTACAATACTAACACTATAAACACAGAGGCAACAGAAAAGTATAAGAGGATTATATATAGATTAAGTATAAGTGTTTTTCTTTTTATTTAGAAGGATAAGTAAAGAGAACTGAACGGCCTAGACTGTAATAATAATAATACTAATAATAATAAAGCGTTACGCGGTGCACAATATCGCCCATTTTTATAAAAAGTCACTTAAAGTTCTATTTTTGGTACAAATATATTTTTCTGTTTCGAATTTAATATTAATCCTTAACTTAAACCCTGCAATAATTGGACGAGTTTGTGATCTTCTGCAATCCCATATATATAGTTTGGCTATTAGTAGAAAGTAGTTCAGTAAAGGGCATTGTACGGCTATTATACCTAATAGCACATCCTGTAGACTAAGGTTGATCAATTCATTTGACAACGAGTAATAATATAATTCAAAATCCTTCCAGAAAAGTTTTGCATATACACAGTCAAAAAGAAGGTGGATAAGGGTTTCCGGTTTATACATACAAAAGGAGCATTTATCATCGGTAATATATCCTATTTTATATAACTTAGTGTTAGTATATAATATGGAGTTAAGGACCTTGTACTGAAAGGCCTTAACATAGAATTCAGAGCATATGATGTGCGGTAAAAGAAATGCTTTTTCTATCTGATCTTCCGTCAGATTAAAATCCCGTTTTAAAGCTGAGGTATTTTTTAGAAAGCTGTGCCTTTTTACTTATGAGCAATGAATAATAATCTTTTGATTTCTTCTTTAAAATATCAAAGTCGTTATTCTTAATTATCACGGAGGGTGGCATTGTTAAAAAGGTGTGATCAGATGTTCTAGGATTAGCTTTTAAGTGGGACGGTACAGCATATCTGAGACCTGCCCATACTAAGAAATTGGTTTTTTCAATCTTTCTTATAATGATACTATGTGACTCTGCAATACTTAAATCAAATCGAAGATCGGAAACCAGAAGAAAACCATTGTCGAAAAATGTTTTGTAAAAAATTGGCTTATTATTTATCCTAATGTCTTTATTATTCCAAATAATATTATACCGCATTTTATCTGTAGAAAAGTCGTCACGAAAATCAGCCCACCATTGAAGCAGCTCGGAGTAAAAAGGTGATTTGATTAGAACGTCTTTTACATCGTAGTTACAATGAAATAGAAAGAGGCCCCCGAAACTTTTAAGTTGATAACGCAAGTAATTCTTCCATGTGCTGTCGTTTTCGCTGAAGATTCTCTTTAGCCAGGCAAGTCTTAAAGATTTGACCATCGTTTCTAGGTCAATCATTTTCAAGCCACTTTTTTGGTAGTCATTTATTGTTGACAAACGTGTGACCTTGTCAACACCTCTCCATAGGAATTTAATTATCAATCTGTTCAATTCTTGAACCGCCCACTTTGGAATTGTTAATAATGATGCCACGTAAACAAATTTTGGAACAATCAACGATTTGATAACAGTAACCTTTCCATAAAGGGAAAGACCTCGCGCAGACCATATGTGTACCAATTTTTTCACGCTGTCTAGTCTTTCTATAAAATTTTTCTCGTGTAGTAATTTTTGATCATAGGTGTAATAGACTCCGAGAGCTTTAATTGGTTCATTTGGCCATTTAATACCAAAAGGTTTTGATTTATTTTCCTTTAATGATCCGATCCACATTGCTTCAGTTTTTGAGGGATTAACAGCTAAACCTGAAATCCTCTTAAAATCGTCTAACAACCTGAAAAGGGTTTGGGCTGAGTCGATGTCTGACAGAACCACAGTTGTGTCATCTGCGTATTGAAGTAATTTTGTTTCCTTCTTGTCAATAGTAATACCTTTTATCATTGGATTTTGTCTTATTGCGATAGCCAAGGTTTCAACAGCTACTACAAAGAGATAAGGAGAAAGAGGATCACCTTGCCTAACTCCTCGTTCGACTGTAAAGTAATCAGAGATTATGCCATTGTTGATAACACAGCTTTGTATATTTTTGTAAAAAGAAGAAACCCATCTAATAAAGCTCTGGCCAAAATTAAAAGATTCTAGACAACTTTGTAAAAAGCTGCGTTCTAAACTATCGAAAGCCTTCTGAAAATCGATAAAGATCAACAAACCAGGAATGTTTTCTTCAACAGTGAAGTTCATTATGTCAAAAATCGATCGTACTGTTTCGCCGATATAGCGGTCTTTTATAAATCCAGTTTGATTGTAATGGATGATGCTTGGTAGAACATTTTGTATTCTAGCAGCTATAACTTTAGCCATAATTTTCGCATCCACATTTACCAAAGATATCGGCCTCCAGTTTTCCAGAAAGGATCGATCTTTTCCTTTCTTTTCGATGAGCGTAATTACTGCTTGCTTTTGAGAGCGCGACATTTCACCTTTTTTCGAAGCATTCGTTAGCACAGAGAATGAAAGGCTCACAAAGTAAAGGCCAAAATTTTTATAGAATTCGATGGGAATTCCATCGTTCCCTGAGTTTTATTGTTTTGGAAACTATCCAAGATAAGTGCGCATTCTTCTGGAGTAATTTCACCTTCACAAGACATTTTTTGTTCTTCTGACAGTTTAGGAATGTTTAAATCTTTTAAAAAGGATTTAATTTCGTGCAAATTTTCATTATTCATGTTCTTACTCGAGTACAATTCTTGATAAAAACGTTGTTGTTCGGACAAGATCTTTGACGGATCCGTGGTAGACGAGCCGTTGATATTTAATTTTCTCATATGTTTTTTGACATGATTTCTTTTTTCTAGGTTTAAAAAGTATTTGGTGCTTTTCTCGCCATGCTCGTGCCAGCGGGCTCGCGCTCGAATAATTATTCCTTTAACCTTTTCTTCATAAAACAATTCGAGCATATCTTTAGCACAGTTAAGAAGATTTGCATTCAAAATACTAGGATCTGTTTCGAAAGCACACTTTGCATTAGCGAGTTGTTCTTGGAGTTCCTTTTCTCTTTCACTTCTTTCTCGAGCTTTTCTTTTGGAATACTGTATAGTGTGCGCTCTTATGTTGTATTTTAACCAGTCCCAAATACTTCGACAGACTTACTTTATGGTATTTACGGATTCCAAGGCCACGTTGAGCTGGACTCTTTTAGCAGCTTGCATAACAATCCCTGTTATCTGTTTGTAAGGAGATTAAAAATCAGTCATCACTCCATGTGAAGTGTTATACCGCCGGCGGAGGTGAGGAGGACAGCGCGTGCATGTCCCTAATTGTAACATTATGTATGTAACAGTTATAGGTTTGGACGTAAGCATACAATTTAATGCGCTACTGGCTGCCGGTATCGGTCCATTTATTCATTTATGTGCTTACTATATGATATGTGTGATAGGTGAAGTGATAAGACACTTAGACGTAGACTGCATGCTCACCACCGGGAAGACTTCCCTACTCTTTTGGATGGAAAACCATTGTTTTGTCTCTTGCTTTGGGTTTAATAGGCTCTTTGCAGTTAGCCTTTTACGAGCGGTGTAAAACCTTCGAGAGCAAAAGTTGCACTGGGAAAAGACAAACAAAAGGCATATTTAATTTTAATGGTAATTAATTTCCTTTATTTGTCTTGTCCCAGTGGGACGTCTGCTCTCCAGCATGGCGGTTATGGCTAGCTGTAAAGGGCCTATTGTGCATAAGGGAATATCTGCTTTAAAAGGCGAACATTCATCGTCATACTGTTTTGGAGTAAGTTTTACAAATTCTTAGGTCAAAGAAAACGTGAGGCACCCAGACCGGTTTCCTTTATAAGGAAGGGTTAAACGGGCAACAATAAAGTGCAACTTGTTTGGCAGCATCACTGCAAAACAAATCTAAATAGCGATATTGCTCGTTTCAGACCACCCACGAGTCAAATCTGTCTTGCAACAAATCACTAAAGGTTGTTGCAGGTTGCGAACAGTTTTTGCAGAAAGTAAAGAGAGAGAGCAGCTCGATCTACTTTTTGCAACAAAATCTGTACATAAACGTAAGTGAATGTTTTGCGTTTTACCGGCCAAAGGCAAACTTGTTTTGCATCAAGTGACGTAAGGCGCCACATGTCGACGTGACTCCTGCGTCAGGCCTTTTTCGAGTTGCCCCAAGTCTCTGATACAAAGCGAGGCTAAGCGCGATTTGAAAATGATTTTTTGTCTAATCAACTTATTTTCACAAGAAAGGATTTGCACTTAGCCTCGTTTTGAAAAACTTGAAACAACCTGATTTGTTGCAGGACTGGTTTCAACGTAGGTTGTAAAACGCCCAACATAGCTTCCCCACTCGTTTTGCAGAAATTTTGTCAGTTTCAATAAAGGCTGCGCGCGTTTTGGTTGCCCACGTTTTACCGTAGCTTTGGGGCTGTATTCTAATTTTCCGACAAGTCTCCGCGTCCCTGAATTATATTGGAGTTACCCCCTCCACCCTCCTCGAAATAAGGTGAGGGAAGGGGGTGAACTTTACTTACCGGTTCCACATCGAGAAGGGTTCCGTGGGCACTTTTTACCGGATCAAGGCCATTGACTGTTTTCAATAAGGATTTGTTGCTTTGATAAAAATGTGGAGGTGAGATTACAACTGGCGGATCTAGAAGATATCCGGTAGGTAATGGTTAAAGTTCCATCGGTAAAATATATTCTAGAGGGTGGCTTCCGCTGGGATGATCCTGATCAGGATTTAAGCTAGAAGATCACTCATACGATGGTGCGTCGAAGGATTATCATAATAATTATAGTAATGATAATAATAGTTTTATTACTTAAAACGGGCAAATTCGCATATGTTTACATGTATGACCAAATGCACGTAAGGAAGGAAGGAAATGCTAAATCCCTCGAATTCATTAATTCGTTTGGACACTGGGCAAGGATTCATCGGTGCCGTTGATCTGAGTGGTCGTGACTCGTGCACCTTCCTTCGATGCATGTGAATATGCCCTTGACCACACTTGTGGAAACCGACCACTTTCTGCCGTATTACCCCGTGGAAGGTAATCCAAGACAGTCTTGGACTCTGGATTGCGCTTTGTGGATTCCGGAATCCAGGTATTAGATTTAGAGTAATTCCGGATTGCAAATGTTAGCGAGATTCCGCATTGAGTATAAGGAATAATTTTTGCAATAAAGTCAAGACTTTGATTTCAAATATTACCAAGTTACCTGTAAACGTTTTGATCAATGAACTGATGAACTCCTCTAATTACTTTATCATTATAGGATTAATTCATGCTTGCTTTGATCTTCGTGACAAATTATTACTAACGTAACTTAATTGCCCTGTGAGGATATTTTGGTTCTTAAAATAGCTTTTGCAATACTGTAGTATGTACTTGTATGGTCACATAAATGAAGCTTGTTATTGTTGTTACTGTTAATTAGATCTTACTCATTGGTTGGCAGAGACTGACATTAAGTAAACCAGTTGGTAAGCAGCGAGGAGGTACACAAAATCCTTTGTTAGGAGGGTATATGTCACCACTTAAGTAGCCTTTATCTGGTGCTATAAAGCGGAAAAGTGTGATGTTCTTGACGGTCACAGTCTTTTCGTATGTGAGATACATAGATCTGAGGAAAATTAGAGAAGATAATTTTTTTGTTAACTTTCTTTTAAATAATAAGCATTCGGTGCGAAAAAGAGCACTTACGCTTTTTCGAATATTTGAGCAATAGTACACTAACCATCGCACAAACTAGACGAAAAACTGACGTTAAACTACTCCCTGAGTTATATAGACAATTATCCATTGCTGGTTGCTGGTAGATAGACTAACAGCTACGATCTTTTATACGCTATACAGTCAACAGAGAAAACAGGAGACCCCATTCAGCTACGAAATTGAAAACTTGGCATCGAGTTATAAATTTAAGCAAAACTGCATGCGCAAACTCTGACACTTGTGAAAAGGATCACAGGATTATGTAAAATACCTGCCTCCGGTCTAGAATAAATTCCCAGTCTTTTTTTTTTTTCTTTTCAATTACCATAGCGTTCAACTTATCTATTTGTTTTCTTTCTCAGACTCATCACAGTTCTCTTGGTACATCGATCGCTGCAATGGGAAGGCTACACTGCAGTTGTAACTTAAAGGTAAAATATTCGAGGTGAACCATGTTACATTTAAATCCGAATATATCAGAAATGAATCTTAAATAACGCACCTGCAGATATCGGGAGAGAATACATATAATTTGTCGTTTTCCAAAACTCTCGGCGCAAACTGCGTACCATCTGCAAAGTTAATAAAGAAATCTAACACGATTACCATGCATTCAAAAACACATAGCCAAACAACTAAATAATATAACTTAATTTTTCACACTTAACACGATGTTAACATAGCAGGGTTCTAGTGTATTTCTGAAATGCTCTTAGTGTAGTTGATTGCTTTATGCGGCTTTGTTGTTGCTTGCCTCTAATTAGCTTAGGGCCTGTTTACATGGAGGTGGGGGATCCCAGATAGGTGAGGTAACATGTGGCGGGTCACCCCACCTATCATGTAAACGTGATCAGAATAAAATGAGAGATTATATGGACAGGCGGGCTACCCCACCTAAGCAGGTTACCTCATCTACCTGAGGTCCCCCACCTCCATGTAAACAGGTCCTAACTCTGAGATTTGAACATTTTCAGTTTACTTTAGTTGTTCTAGATAACGCTAGAATATCAAAATAGCCTTTCTTTAACCATTTTGTTTTCAAGCAATAAATTACAGCTTACATACCTGTGCCATTAATCATGTTTGCATATTTGTCACTCCACCATGTTAAATGACTGAAAACAAGAACGTCATGAGTAGACTTAGGGCCTGTTTACACGGAGGTGGGGGACCCCAGGTAGGTGGGGTAACAAGCGGCGGGTCACCCCACCTATCATGTAAACGTGACCAAATTTTAATTTTAAAATGAGACATTTTATGTACAGGCGGGTTACCCCACCTACCTGGGGTCCCGCACCTCCATGTAAACAGGCCCTTAATGTTATATGATGTGTTATCGCATTCCATAAAGCCTGAATACAGCCAATCAGAGAGCAAGAAACTCATTGCAGCATATTCTGGGGTATGTACAGGTTGTATTTCACGAAAAAATCTCGGCGATCCTTTCTGCCTCCATAGAAAAAGCCAAAATTTTATTGACAGAAGCAACTTTGAAAATAATACTTAGACCCCGAGTTTTTGCGAAGTCCGAGATGGCCTCACATCTTAAAACAACAAGCCTAACTGAGATCCCACAAAAAACATTGGACAGCTTTCTTGCCATTTTCTTCAGAATACGGGAGGAGTAAAGACGACAGAGGTGAATACGAACTTTATCAGTTGACATGACAGCTGTAGATCACTTGGGCATTATTTTTTAACTACAGATTACATTTTTTATTAAAGTGATTTTGCGATATTTTGATGATGGTGATGATGATGATGATGATGATGACCGGATGAATAAAGACTAACAATTCACTGCGGTTTTATCATCCTCCCCAAATGAGGCATACTTACGTTTGTCCCCTCCACATGATAAACTGTTCTAGCTTGCTGATGTCTTTCTGTCCAGTATTCATAGCAATGATGCCTTCATATGTGTTATTGCGCTAAAAACGAAAGCAGTCGTATATAGTCACTATTATCCTAAATATCCTAAACGTATGAGAATTCTTTAACACGATACTTTGGTTCTTCCGACGTACTTGCAAATTCATTTTCGTGGCACAAGGAAGGGGTTGTAATAATCGGAAAGAAGGCACATAGTTGCTATAAAGAATCCTCAAAAATATATCTATCTATAACCTGGATCTTCCCGTTCATCTTTCCAATTACCAACCATCTCTGCCCAGAAAAAAATCTGATGGTCTGCATCGCAGCTTAGCGAAACACTTTAAAATTACTGTCAGTCGTTCGTTAACAGAGAATTTATGCAAGCATTACGTACATATCAAAGTGATCTAACCTGCAACTGAACGAAGGGTGACACCCCTTTTGAAGAATTCCTGGGACATGCATCACTCTGAACATTTACTATTGTATTAAGGAGAGGGTCAGTATATCCCCAGAGTAAATCATACACTGACTTGCTTTGAAACAGTCTAACTTGATAGGCGTTCGCTAACATCTGTACTGCTCGCAAGCATGTTGAGTAGTTCTGTAAGTCTGTATTTTTTAATTTCAGTGCCAAAGTCTGCAGAAAGAAAAGCAAGGAAAAATGAGGTAAAACTCTGGATAAATACCGTCTTAAGGCGGAGAACGGAATCAAAGAGAAGTAGTTGATATCCGTAAAAGCAAAGTACTAGTTAACTACAAAAGAAACCTGACTTAAACAGAGTTCAGATAGTACCTTGGCCAAAGTAAAACTGGATTAGAAAGAGGATTTGTTTAAGACAATAACGCTTTTATAAAATCCTAAGAAATAAATAGTACCATACAAATGTTCTCCCAAAGAAACTAGGATTCCAGGGCTCGCAGACTCAAAAGTTAAGAGCTCCTTGCAGTTAATTATATACACAATTTTAATCAATGCGATGCCTCAAAAATTTAGGCTTGCACGAGTGAGACTGGGGCTTCAGCGAGGTTAAAGTCCTTCCTATTCGAATACATAAAGGAGCCTGTATTTTTTCGTACAGTCATTAAGTCAAAACGAGTTGTTGTTGTTATTGTTTTTGTTCCTTCTCTTACAGTTACTGGCCGCTCGTGAGTTTCTTTGAACCTTTAGAGTTCATCTGATTCTGATTGTAAAATTTAAGCATCGAGAGTCGCCATTTTGGATCACGTAAACCCATTACTTCCAACTTAAAACAATTGCTAGGAAATGTGGCCAGCTAAGGTTACGTTACCTGTCCTTATGGGCAATTTATCGGTTGGAAGCGGAAATAAGACGATAACGAGGCCAAAGCTTTCCTGCAAGTTTGAGTGATCGGAACGTTTGGCCTCGTCCTCGTCTTATTTCCGCTTCCGACCAATAAATTGCCGATAAGGCCAGGCAACCTTATAATTAGCTGGTGTCTGCACCAAAAGCTATCCCGTATTTTATAACTTTGGCCGGAGCTGGAAAAATTTTAATAGAATCGGATTAACTTTGAAGGTTCAGAAAATACTGTATTCAGCTGATCGAATTTCTACGATCCTTGGAGCTGGAAACGCTTTGGAACCGTTATAAGCTTGGAAGCTAATGCTTAGTGATTACCAAAACGTGGTCTAAAAACTATAAAAATTTTCATATGTTTATTTCTGATTAGAAAAAAACATGTCTTTTCGGCTTTGCGGAGCGACCTTGTGAAAAAAAGAACTGATTGAGGACCAAGAACACCGCCGAAAGAAATGTCAGTGTGTCGTTACTTTATTTTACCCTTGTTGCGTCTCTCTTAGTATTCACACTTTATTGGGGCAAAACTTCAGTAGCCTGTTCCAGCCGTTCAGGCACTCTACTATCTGAGCGCCTGGAACAGGCTAAAACTGCAGTCATGAAAGAATTAACAAGAAGACATATAATCAAAGAAATAAAATACAAATAATTAATTACAGTTACAAGGATAATTGAAAAGCATTTGCGGATCCCCAAAGGGGCAAGTAGAAACGGGACCCTAGACCCATGCAAGGCAGCGCCCCGTTGTTACTTACAATTACAGAATTGTTAAATAGCTTTTTTTACCCTTGAAAAAATTTAAAAATTAACACAAGCCCGAGATGTACGTTTAACTGACTCACCAACAGTGGTATGTTGACAGTAACAAATGTGTCGGTCTTGTCATCACAGCCATCACATGATGTTTCTGGATCAAAAATGAATTTTCTATTTGGCATGAATGTTACAATGCTCTGGTCACTGCTCCAGTTGAGCACCTCGTTTGATCTTAGTTCTCTGGAAAGGGAATAATCATAAGACGGTTAAAAAATTGCAGTTGGAAAATGCATTTTAAGGGTTTATTAATTTCGGGGTACATGTGGATATGCGCTTGTCTCCCCCGGAAGGGTGGGTACTTGACCTACAGTCTGGAACGAAATTTTTGCGGGAGTTTATTTTTGAGAATTGGAGATTTTTTGTGTTTTGCGGGAACTAATTTTTGCGATTAGGGCAGACTGGTTTTTCTTGCTGGGAATTAATTTTTGCGATTTTCAGAAAGTACCCAGTACCCAGTATTGAAAAGATTCGTTTTTATCGAGTACGTGCAATAGAAATACATATTTGGTGGGGACCTTTTTTTGCGGATCGCTGGAAAAAATCGCAAAAATTAAAACCGGCAAAAGTTTCGTGCCGCACGGTATACTTGGGTATAGGTGAGCAGCTAAAGATTTGAGTCCCTGAGACCCTGTTTGGGACAAAAGTTCCTAAAAGACATAACCTGTTTAGGAAACACCCTCAATTTTATTACCCTGGTTAGAACAAAGGGGAAAATGCTGGTCGTCTTGTTTTAAAGCTATTTATGACAATAGAGCAAATTCAAGAAGCAGTCATTGTTAGTAACATACTTTGAGTGCAAACAAAATTCACGTAGCAAATCAAATCAATCGAGCAGGCAGTACCTTAGCCTAGGGTAGTCTGGCTGGGGAGGGGAAAGGATGGCTTTACTCGCCGACATTTTTCCTATTTGACCCCACAGCAGAGCCCGGTCCCAGGCTAGCAATGCCCTGTTGACAGACTCACACGAAATTATATACCCTTTTTACGACAGAGAGGTCAAAAGCCAAACCCCGTCCAGCATCACATCCCGGTATAGGCCATGTGAGGGATTACCCCCCCCCTTCTCCGTGCTTGTCTCGTCTCGTCCCCCATACCTGTAAGAATATGGCCCTATCTGTGTCACATTAGGAATTTCTAGGCCTTCCATTACTTCGTTTGGATTTGTCACGTTAAAGACAAAGTATTTCATGTAAATAGGAACAGAGGGCTTTATCCATTCTTTGTACACTAAACTGCCACGTTTTAATTGCACATCCTAAAACAAGAACAAAAACAAAACTCCTTACTTAGCTTTCTTTGAAGGTTTTTTCCCAGGTAAAGTGACCAGTAAGTGGGAAAACCCCCTGTAAAGTATGGTAGATATGATAACATGCGATAAGAGAGGATGCAGTGACTGCTTTACAACGAAATTACAGGCTAATTGTAGACTGTGTAGCTGTGAGAATGCATCATATTATTTGATCTTTCAACATTTGCTCGGACAAAATAGTAGCTTAGGCGGAAAAACTGAAAAAGATAACTAGTTCTAGCGGTGGAACCCAGTTAATACGGTCACCAATGGGCCAAAAAATTGGCCGTATTAACGGGGTGGCCTTATTAACGAGGGTTTTTTACAAGAAAATGTGTGGCGTTTTTTGACAGCTGGCCAGAAAAAGTGGCCGTAATAACGAGTTGACCGTATTACCGAGGTGGCCGTAAAACGGGGTTTCACAGTAGTCAACTAGTTTACCTGCGTAACTGGCGGGGTTTGTTTAGCCTGTTCCAGGCGTTCAGATAGTAGAGCGCGGGAGAAAAATTCAAGAAGGAAAAAAAAAACGAGGGGAGACCCGGTGTACAACTACAACGGTGGGGTCAACGAGGGGAGAACACCCGTTTTCCCGGTGTACAACTCTTACCGCCGCGCTCTACTATCTAAACGCCTGGAAAAGGCTAGGTTTTGTTTGTCAGCCCGCAAATGGCGACGAAGCCGCGAGGAGAATGGGACAGAAACAACGAGAGAAGCTTTTTTATTTAAAATGTATGCTTTGAACTTTAAGACTTGGAGCTCCCTCTATAGCTTTGACAAACCGCGCGGGAATATTTCCCAGTTGTACTCATGATAATTTGTAAGGGGAAAAAAAGATGAATTTGAAGCTTTTTCTTTTCACACTGTTTTTCTTTTATTCGTTTTAAGCTACAAGCATCTTCGTCAGTTACAGTTTCTCAATTTAGAGTTTCCACGTGCGCTGCCAAAGGACTCGAGTGACTCGCGTGCACGATCACTTCCTATTCGGTTCACCCTCCCCCATCCTTCCTTCACCCCCTGCTGCCTTAATTTGCTCGCTAGTTGATGTGTATATGATTGAAGCCCGTTCTTCAGCTGGTTCTTGACTATCCAGGGTAAAATAAACGTTTCAACATCTCGGAAAAAGATAATTTTTATACACCCTAAGGCACATGTAATGTAGTCTGCTACACAGCCGTTTTTAGTGACGACAGTAAAAACTGCTGAAAAAAATAGTTTCCTTAGCCATGTTACAAACATGTGAGACGCACCAAAATTACGGGTCTTTTCCTGTGTGTGTGTGTGTGTGACAGGATTACACATTATCATGAGACGAAGGGTATTACAGATTTCACTGAATTAAAACAAACGATGAAGATACGAGACCCCGAGAACGATATCACGATAGAGATAATATAATGATTTCAATTCTTGACTCACTGCTAAGAAATGTTACATTTAGGTATTAAAATAGATTCGAATTTTAGACTCTACCACAACCCTTGAAGATAGTTTTAACTGAGATAGTATGGATTCTACATTTGCCTAGATCTTCACTAGTATTCTTCACTGAAACGATAGGAATGTCTGATACTACGCCTTCTCTTTCATCGGCTTTGCATGTGTGTTCTATTAATTTTTTTTTTGTGTACTTGTTTTTTCGTCAAATATACTTGTTGAAAAACATTTAGCCATCAAAACTGGATATGGCATAAAACAAGGAAATTTGATGTAATGGAGTAGCCTTTCGATCCTTTCAACGTTTTCATTAAAGATGAGGAATTTCTAAATTAGATTTTTTCAAAACATTTTTTATAAATACTGACCTTGTCGACATTTTCGTTGATCAGCCTATCGAAGACCCCACAAACGCCAAACGCTAATCCAAGAACAAGGAGAACCACTCCCGAGGCGGATAAACAGATTATCCAAAGTTTTTGGCTGCAGCAACCCATGGTCAAAGAAAAAGTAGTACAGCCGGCTAAAACTGAATAAGTACTCAGAGGCTTGATGTTGTTTTATGAACAAAGTTTGTTGTAATGAGCGTAGCGTGGCTTTTTGTAAAGTCACGCAGAAAGGGGACGCGAAAACTCGTGATTAGTCGCCCACCCATTTACCAAAAGACGTAATCATCATTTTCAAAATCACTGTGACAAACTTTGTTAAATACCAGCCGGGTGTGATAGTTAACGAACAAACGATATTCGCTGTGTTCTTCGCCCTTTAGGTGCATAGGTTAAAATTAGGTCCTGTTTACATGCGGCGGGTCACGTCACCTATCATGTAAACGTGATCAAATTTAAATGAGAGATTACATGGACAGGCGGGTTACCCCACCAAGGCAGGTTACCTCACCTACCTGGGGTCCCTCACCTCCATGTAAACAGGCCCTTAGAGAAGTTTTGATTATTTTTTGGATGAAATTCCTATATGATAATGCAAAAAAACAATCCCTTGTAATGAAGCATTTAAAGGAAAATGACGAAATGTTAACTCCGTAAAGCGGTAAAATATCTTTGCAGTTAACACTCTTCCAGGCTCATTTTTATTTTTCCTTTCCTTGAAATATTTTAGCATACATTACCATACCCCAAAACAATGAAAAATAACAAAAAAATTAACTGCGACATTATTCCATCATCAGGGCTCAGGGGAATGGCAAGCGTTTGAGCCAGAAGAAGAAAGACGTTTTGATAGATGTTTGAATTGGAGTTTGTAGGGTCCTCAGCGAATGAACAGCCTTTTAAGATCGAGATCGGAACGTCTTCTTAGTCGGGAAAACAGACCTACTATTGAAACAGACTATTTCTTTTGTTTCTGGTTGATCAGCTGGCAAGACCCTTTCACCTTTGTTCTAAGTAACGTGAAACCGTTTATTTACATTATTGTTATTATTTTTTACGCACATGACTAACCTGCGATCAAGCGTATTTTTTCTCGGGAGAGTGCGAAGTCGGCGGAAGGGAAGGGAAGCCACATGACTAGAAACATGGGACATTTACAATTATTCACATGACTATAGTCTAAGTAGTATTAGCGATATATTCGAGACAGGTACTAGCCTACAGTCTAGTACAGTCTAAGGCGTTTCAAAAAAAAAAGAAGAAGAAAGCTCTTCTAACGGCAGCATATAGGCAACCCAAGCCTAGCATGGGAGTTACATGTTTTACAATGCTGCGAAATGTCACATGATTGCCCGTGAACGTTAAGTATTTGAATCCCTGTATAATAGAGATATTTATTCAGGGGCACCCAACGTCAATTTTCGGAAAATATCTGTTCGGGAGGACGATTTAAGATCTAGAATTTTCGGAACATTTGTTGGAAAATTTCTTGCTTGCCTTCCTCTCCTAGGATTTTCGAACATCTAATTAAATGGTATAATTACCTATTTTTTAAGGATTTTTATCCTAAAAAGGTCACCTAGAGTTTTCGAGATCCTTTTTTCTGGCTGCAATTTTCGAAAAGGTAAGTTTTGATCCCTATAATTTTCGGACCACTAGACTTTCAGCTAGGAAATCCGAACAGATGAAAAATACTTAGGGGATAAAAATATGCCTACATCTACCTTTTAAATACTAATAAGACATTTACCAGATGGTAAATGCAGTTAATGGAACATGAAGCCCCAGGGGGGGTAGGCTAAGGTAGCCTGCCCCAATGTATGCTCTGTTTGATCTCTAAAGACTTATTTATAGATGAAAGCACGCCAATTATAAGATACAAACAAAAGCTGTTCGTGGTTGGAACCTCACTAATTTGTCGTATGTTTGTCATCGTATTTTTCTTAGCATCGCGCAGATTGGTCCCTGTTTTCAAGGCCCTATTCATGGCTAGACTTTAATCATGATAAGACTAGGTAGCTTATGGTACAACTGTATTCATTGGTCGAGATTTGAGACACTGTCTAGCTATAAACTTCTGCTATTGCAGACCTGGTCATTATTCGTTTAGCTTGCACGAAAGCAAACAGTTACAGTAATTTTGTTACCCACCCTCCCTCCCTATGGAGGAGTTTTGTTGTGTTAGGTATCAATAAAGTTTGGGGGGTCACTCCTAATTGTGGTGCGGTTAAGTCTGCGTTGCGACGTCCCCCAAGCTTTTGGCATTGCTTGTGTCTTGCCATCTTATTCATTTGCCTTAATCTTGTCCGATCCAGCCCGTGCAGCGCTGGGGAGATAAGAAAGGCTCTGCCAATACTCTTGTCCTACCCCACGGTAGTGGGGCGATAAGTGAGGCTTGTGTTTTTGCTGTGCGCATAACCTGAAGTCGCTAGAACCTGCCACAGGGCTGTGTCCCCCCTTTATTACGCCATCTTGTAGTAATTGTTTTATTTGCCTGCGTGCGCTATTTAGTTGTGTTACTTTTTCATGCGTATCTTAAGCGGAATAGTGACATTAAAATACGTTTAACAATGCTATATTTAAGTGGTTTTGAACTTTATTCTCGTTGGGTGCCCCTGTTTATTGACCGAAGTTCATTACCAAATAATAATAATAAAGAAACTTCTTTCTTAAACAACCCCAGGCTTCCGCTTATAAGCCCTGGGTTTACACAACTTTCTCTCTTTCTTTCGGACAAATGAAGAATTTCAAAACAATATACATAGCAGTGCCAATTTTTCTAAAAGTTGTTATTGTACTGATCCATGTCTACAACTGGGAGACCCGGAACCTCTCATCGATTTGTCGCTGTGGACTTGCTGATATTTTATATCCCGTAAAATTCCGAAAACAAGCCCCTCCATGTATAACCCCTCCAAATATAAGCCCTCCAAACTCGTAACGCAAAAAACCCTCCGTTAAGTCGCCGCTCCAAATATAAGCCCCCAGGGGGGCTTTGTATTTGGAAATTGCCCTCAAATGCAAAGTAAAACAAAGAAAAACGGTAAATGTCCTTCCAAGAACAAGGCTAGCCCAATCGATTTTTAAGCGCAGATTTCCCTTCCGTACATAAGCCCCTCAAAATGGGCCTTTGAAAAATATAAGCCCTGGGGCTTATTTTCTGAATTTTACGGTATTTTACTAGGTACCCCCGGTATCCGAAAATATCCGGGAAATTTTTGCTACTCGGGATCCTGGGCTTTGAAACTTGGAATCCATCTCCGCCTTGAAGTCGCCAGTGCAACTCCATGGCAACAAATTTACCGTCTGGAGGATTTTAACTGTACTGTACTGTAACCTGGAATCCGCTGACAACTAAACCCGGAATCCATAATCCCGCACAGCGCCAGCGTTAAATCCAGAATCCAAAACTTTATTACTTTGACCCTACATGGCATTGGGGCGACATCACGGGTGTGTGGTTAGTTTCCTGATCCGATTAGAATTTAGCGATTTCTTTCATTCCCGTGCAGTGTTTCCACTCCTGCTGAATAAACAATCTACTAAAAATTCACCACGGAAATACATTAAGCCGTGTTTTATTAAGAACCTTTGCGAATATAAAATGTCTTCTTGAATCTATTTACGGGATTCTCTTGCAAATCCTTAATTTGGCTAATTTGAGATTACGGAATATTTCAAAATATTATTCAAACACGTAAACACGTAGATATATACCGTAGTCTGCTACACAGCCGTTTTTAGTATCCTTATGCAATGCTCCTCCTCGTCCTCGTCCTCCGCGTCCTGTTGCGTGACGAAACTAAAAACGGCTGTGTAGTGTAGCAGGCTAGTATATACCGCTGATCATGGACAAATTTTCCGCAATCTTTGACATCTTTTAACTGACTATAAACTTTCAAGGTGACCAAAGGTGACCACTCCTGACTGACCATTCGCTTTGTTATGTTTTAAAGTTAAATGTATCATGGATAAATCAAAGACGCCCCATACATCAAAGGTTGTTACATTTTCATCGCTACAAGTTCTCTCCATTGCTGTTTGCTTCGTAGCACTGATTCAGGTCCAGATCAAACTCTACGCGCATGACCAAATCCTTCTGAAACTTCTTCAACAAAAGGAAGGAAATTCCGACGTGAGAAACACGGCACCTAATGAAGCAACGGGCAGTTCGGGGCAGAAAATTGAATTTCTCAGAGAATTGGATGATAAACATAGTAAAAAAGGTGAGAAATAAAATCGCTTATTCTAAGATTTAAGAGTTTCGACGAAAAGCAGCTCTTTCCTTTGAACTTCATATAAAGAATTGAAGAGCCTTCTACTACGACGAAGCAGAAGCTGCGGATAGAACCAAGAAGAAATATAGGTGCGTGCTTATTCACCCTTACTGGGGAGTGGACAGCTCTGTTATTTTTCCTCCGTTCGCAACTAGCCAGCATAAACAGCCAACGGCCGCCTGTCATCTCTCCTTGCCACTGGTGACGTTTTGTGAGAGAGAAGGGAGAGAGAAGAGGGTCGTCCCACCGCTCGCGCGAAGGTGAGAGACGGCTGGCTGAATTCGCAAACTATTCGCGACATATCAGAGAGACGACTACCGGGCACGGTCAGAGGGTACGGTGTTGGGCTCCCCACTAAAATAGACTTTCCTCCGGGAAAAATCAAGATTTCATGTTTCTCATTCTTAGATATATAGAGTGGAGGATCTTGCGTCTAGACAAATGTATTATTTTACGAGGAATCTGAAGAGCAGTTGTTTAGAATGGGAAAGGAAGGTGAAATTTTCATCTGGCGCAGCATAGCTAAGCATGTTCAGAAGTGCGAGCGAGCGAGGCATTGCTCGACCGCGCGACAATCCCGAGCGATTGTGATCAGTTCATCTATGTGCCACAAGAGAAAATGCGATTTCATTTTATATAGGATTTTAGCTGTAACATAAACCAAACGTGGCTTTTCGTCTTGAAGAGAAAGGAGAACCTGAATTATGGGAAGAAAACTTATCGAAGCAAGGCCCAGAGACTAACCAAAACAAACTTAACCGGGATTCCTTAACTAAGGCCAAATTGTGAAAGGTTTGAACCCAGGAGTCATTTCAAAAATAGGTTGAGTTTGATCGTCCGGGTGAGCGTAGTTCTGCATAGGACTGTTGTCGGTGACAGTGACTGACGTTTCGACAACCTGTGCGGTAGTCATCTTCAGAGTCAAAGTGAGTTGTAGCACGTCAGTTGATGGTATTATACTCTGGTTATTGATCTGATTGGTCAATTACGTAATTGACCAATCAGATCAGTCAGATCACTAACCAGAGTATAATACCATCAACTGACGTGCTACAACTCACTTTGACTCTGAAGATGACTACCGCACAGGTTGTCGAAACGTCAGTCACTGTCACCAACAACAGTCTTATTCAGGACTACGTTCACCCGGACGATCAAACTCAACCTACTTTTATAATTAAGGCTAAATTGATGGAAGACGAGGGCTCTCATCCCCCTGCAGCACCACATTTGCTGCTAAAATGCAACCTAACGCAACAAACAGAGTTGCAAACTTACACTGCGAGGATATACATGTATAGACTGTCGTTGATTCCATTTTCGCAAGCAGTCTTGGGAGCGACGTCCGTGACACTGTAATTTGCCGTGACGATCATCACGTTACTTCCTCCCCTGCAAAGTTAATTCCTATTTAACCCCGAGGTGGGGGCGAGTGGACTTTCTATAGAAGTTACGGGGATGTGCATCGTCTCGCTGAGGGGCAGAAATTGAAGAGTTTTATCTCACTTGAGGTGTTCAGGGGCGAAAGCTAATATTTTTTCCCCATAAAGGTATCGCTAGGGTTGTGTGTAAAGATATAACAAATTCTCTACACAAAAGGAAAGGCAATCAAACTGTATTAATTTGCACTAGTATCGTCAACTTTACAGGTCAAAGCAAGGCTATGCCACGGTCAGATTTGTCTCCTTTAGTGATTGGGATCTTGAATTTTCCGACGAGCATTCCCTTCTCTTTTAAGGGGCCGGTCATTATTTATCGCCTTGGGCGGGGGGCGGAAGTTTTGGGGCTTAACAATGTAAAATTTAGCCGATACCTCCTTTGAATGTTACTTCACTTTCGTGATCCCCCCTAATAACTTTTGATAACTTTCGTGATTCCCCCCCATGTCTTCATTTTCCAACCAAATTTGAGTGGTCCACCCTCTGAATCCTTCCAAAGTTTTCAGCGATCCCCCCTTTTGGTTTCTCAGTTACGACTGACCCCCCCTTTTGTTTTCCTAAAAATCAAGAGACCCCCTAAAATTCTTCCCCCCCCCCCGGGCGATAAATAATGACCGGTCCCTAAATGGGAGTCCGCCTCCCAACTCCCACCCCCGTATTGCTGGATTTTATGGACGCTGTCGCATGATTTATGGTCATAGCTTTGTTCAAATCAGCAGCGGTAGTTCAGAGGTTTCTCGGCATGGCACAAACGAACTGCACTAAGTGGACAATTTTCAAGTTAATCAAGTGATGGAAAAGCCAAGTCGTGAAATCATTTTTAGCACGGCGGCAATTTGCTAGAAACATAATGCCAACTTTTAAAAGGTTAGCCAAATCGTTTTCTAGTTGCGATCATTTTTCCGGTGAGCTCTTTTAGGTCGAACTGTAACCTTAAATAGTTTTATTTCACTTATAAGTTACTTCGAATTCTCTAAAAAAGTGAAACATTATATTTAAGTGAGGTTTTCGTTTTTGTAAACCTTTAGCTGTCCATATCTTGAGAAAGTACTAGTGATCCTTTAAAGTAGAATTGAGTTAGATCTTTTGTCGTGAAAATTCTAAACATCTCTCGTTATATTTTTAATTAGTATCAGGACAAGCCGATAAGATGGTGGGCTTTCAAAATTGCCGTATTAGAGAGCAAAATACATAAACATATTTTAAAAAACATAAGAGACGAACATGTTACAACTCTGATGTTTCTTAAATGGACGTCCAAATTATAGGAACTGCTAGCGTCTAGATCAATGACTTCATCAGAATTCTTCCCAAAGTGATTTTATTACACACTGATCACACTATACTATCACATTATACAGCATTCATATTACCAGCTGTCGTTTCGTATTATTAAAGGTAAGTGAATTAAAAGAAGATAGCTTAAAATGCTTCTTTCTTCCAGATACACTAGTTCGCCGCAGACGCAATTTGGGAAATGAACACAAGCTGCTAAATACAAGCGAAATAATCACAAGAAAGGACATCCGAAAAGAGGTTCATCTTGCACTGAGTAGCCATGTTTGTACGGTGCATTGCCCAAGAAGTGCCAGGGGAAAAAGAGGCAGACCTGGTCACAGAGGCCCCCCCGGCAAATATGGCCCACCTGGGCCTCAGGGACCACAAGGACCTAAGGGTCCTCCTGGAGATCAGGGACCTCCAGGACCTAAAGGCAATGAAGGTCCTCAGGGACCCAAGGGTGATCGTGGTAAATCCATTGCAGCGCCTTCTATTGTGTCGCCTCTTGTTTCCATAGTGGTAAATGAAACGGATGTAGCCTCACTTCAGTGTCAGGTTAGAGGAAATCCGATACCTCAGATCACGTGGATGAAAGAGAACTTCAGTCTGTCAGTGACCAAACGCATCCAACAATCACGTGGTACCCTGATGATAACAACTGTGACTTCAGAAGATGGTGGAATGTACACGTGCCAAGCAAAGAATATTCTTGGAGTTGTAAGATCATCAGCTACACTAACTGTTCAAGGTAAAAATAATGAAGTCCTGTTTCAATGTTTGTGTCATGAAAGGATATTAAGTACAAATCGTTAAAGAAAATATAAAAGAGGTTACTCAACAAAATATCAGATTCACCTTTATGGGATTTTGAGATTTAGAGAGTAAATACCTAAGGTATGACACAGTTTGCCTGTTGTGTTTAAGTTCTAACAATATTTTTTTTATAGTGATGAAGATTTGTTTTATACTATAAAACTAAAAATGCTGAAAAATCTGAGAACTGTCTTGCTACCATATGCTTTCAATAAGGTGCATGGATGTTGTCACTGCTGTAGGTGACGGGAATCTAACTAACTGATTAATTGTTATTTTTCAACAACAGTTGCTGCCAAAATCACTCAAAAGCCCTCGTCTATCATTGTTGAAGAAGGACAAAATGTGACTCTAGTTTGCAAAGCTACTGGTCAGCCGACACCGACAGTAATGTGGCGCAAAGCATTTGGTCACGTGTCTAAAGCGAATATTGTGGTGGCAGATTGGAATATGACCATACTCAGCGTTACGAAAGCAGACGGTGGGGCTTACGCATGCTCGGTAAAGAACCTTCTTAGCCAAGATTCTGCTGTTGCATTAGTGACAGTGATCGACAGGCTCGAATTCGTTTTGGCTCCTCCCTCGACAGTTGTTGCAAATGAGAGCAGCGACATAGTATTAAACTGTGCAGCCCACGGCAAAAAAGATATTCTTTGGGAAAGACAGAGCCGAGCACTTCCTAAAAATCACGCCGTTTTTTCAAATGGGACATTGCTTCTGAGGATGATTTCTCTAAATGACGCCGGAACTTACAAATGCGTAACGAAAAACTACCACCGCTCTATAGAAACAGCGTCTGTCGTTAAAGTGCTAAGCTTGGTTAAACCAAAATCCTGCAGCGAGATAAAATCGAAAGAACCTGGAAGCTCTTCTGGCAATTACATGATTGACCCTAATGGCGAAGGTGGCGTGACTTCATTCAGCGTGTATTGTGACATGAATGACAAAGGCGGAGTTGGCGTGACGGTCATTAGTCAAGACAGTGAAAGTAGGACCCATGTCGGTCCCAATGGATGTAGCGGCCAAGGATGTTACCGTAAAGGTGTGACTTACACAGGAGTTACTACCGCTCAACTGGCAGCGTTTACTCGAGTCTCGCAGAAATGTGAACAGTTCATTAAGTATGAGTGCAATCCTCACTCATCATTTATTGAGCGTGGTTTTGCTTGGTGGGTGTCACGTGATGGAACAAGAAAGGACTACTGGGATGGAGCTACTGGCTACAACAAGATGTGCGCATGCGGGGTAACGAACTCTTGTTCTAGTGGTGGTAAGTGCAACTGCCCAACCCGCAGTGGCTGGAGTGAGGACAGCGGCCTGCTCACAGACAAGGCCGCTCTTCCCGTGAAACAGATCAGATTGGGAGACTTGAATGGTTCACACGAGGAGGGTTATCACACTTTAGGAAAACTCAAATGTTATGGACAAACTTAGCGAGTCGACCTAGTGCGAAACAGTTTTAAACTAGGGGCGCCGTATTTTTAGTCCTATTTGTAATTTTTCTACTGATTTAATAAATAAAACGTTCTTTCAGGCGCAATGTTATTGCATTCTATGAAAAAAAGGAACATATCTTTGTAGCAGAGCAGAGTGGCGCATTTAAGGTTTGACAAAAAATACTAAAGATAATATACTTTAACGGAAGGAGGCTTTACAATTTATTTGGCTTGCCCACGATTTATGATTAATGATTAAGGAATGACTCTGAAAAGTAACAATGATTTAAGTGAATACGTTGTCGGAGAAAACCATTCTTCCAAAATAAAGTTACAGCAGGCGAACTAAACGGCTTATTGCAAACGAAGCAGCCGAGCTAAGGAGCGAGGTTGCCTCGGCGGCAGATTCATAATACCGCGCAATGTATTGCGTAACCTTGTTTTTATGCCCATATTTGGGTGTAAGGAATACCCAATATTTGAGCAGTGACATCACGGTCCTGAATTTATTCCTCGTGGCTCGAGGCCAGGTAATCTAGTGTGCAACTGTTGGTTGTGGACAATGGGTTGCGAGGGTTTCAGTTGTTGCTGGGAACCTAACAGATGAACAAGCTTGCCATTTATCGTTTGAAAGGGCTATTAGTGCAATGTTTGGAGCTGCTGATCAATCAAGGAATAGGGTTCAACGATCAAATTTTTTCAGTATCCGCGTGTTTTTGCAGCTCGATTTACACTTTGCCGGCCCTCAACTCCAGTGAGGAATGTAACGAAATTGTGGACCTTTTGTTTTAGAGACTATCTTTATGCCTTTAGAGAGATTTTTGTGATAACCAGCGTGTTCTTTACAGCTTGATTTACATTGAGCTAACCCAGGATCCCAGGAGCCCATGAGCCAGCCCTCTTCTTCCGTGAGGAAGGCAACAAGTTTGTGGATCTTTTGTTTTAGGGACTATGTAAGATTCTTTGTCCTGTGAGACTCGCTCGTTAGATCGTTAAGTTGTCTTTATTCAAATTTATATTTTTATACCTTTCATACGAACTTCGGCCCATATGCGCTTTCACACATTTTCCTTTACATCATTTTTTTCATATACTTAAGATCGATCGGCAAAAGCTCGGAATTTAATTTCCAATTTTAATCACAACAGTTAAAGGCGATATTTTACTTTTTAATGTTAATAGTTTTGTGATAGATTTATATGAAATAAATCATATAAAAACTGCATGCGGAAATGAAATCAAATGAAGAATGATCCTCGCATTAGTGAACGCAATTTATGTAATTGCGTAAGAAGCCCGAAAAAATTCAGGACTTCAACGAGATTTGAACCCGTGACCTCGCGATACCTGTGCAATGCTCTAACCAACTGAGCTATGAAGCCGCCAGCTCCCACCAGGTCATGTTTTTGCTTAATAAAAGTGAAAACTTAGTATGTGGGTGAAAATTTATTAGCCATCCCTGACTGCGAAAAAAAAAATTTAAGCCTCTTAAATTATGTAACAAACTGCGAGAATCACGAAAGGAAGTCGCTTCGTTGAAACTTGCCAAAAGTTGCCCCTGGTGTTCTCACCTCGATTTGCATAACCTTCCAATGCCCGATTCAATTGTTGATTCCCAAGCTCGACTCATAAGGAAAACGCAAATTTAAAATTAATTTCTGAACGAAATTAAATAATCGTATTTTTGTTTAATCTGACTGATCAATGTTGCAATAGGCCACTTGCACAATGATGTCATTTTATTACTACGACCAGAATCCTTTAAGGTTTTGCTTTCTTGGGCAAACTAGGTAGGGCTTTTGTTTTTAATCCTCACTAGGTTTACCAAATATAAATATGAAAGGAAAAACCAAAGTTATTCTGGCCACAGTAATAAAATGACGCCATCGGGCAAATGGCGTATTCTCGAGCAACCAGTGACATCACGTAAATTCTTAAGCCAAGAAACCCAGACACGAGGCTTCTCTTCTCAGCCGAAAAAGACAACAACAACAACAAAAAAATCGAAGAACTAAAAGCAACTTTTATGATGAGTGCAAATCCTTCGCCATATCGCCTGTTGAATTCATTGATTCCAAAGAGATACTATCTGAGCAATTTTACGTAATCCTACAAAGGCTAGCCAATAGCTGCAACCGCCGAGTCTCTGAGTATACACGACTTGTGCGGCAGGCATAGAAACTCTTCTAGTATCGCTTTTATCGTCCTCCCCTTCTTCGTGTCGGGCGTGCAGGCTAATACATAATATCCTGAAGAGATTTCCCCATCAAACAAAATAACTAACGGCCTTTTCAGCAAATTCAGCAAACCTGATTTCACCCCAGCTGAATAATGCGGAAACAAGAATCCCTTCGGGAATTTTTAAAAAGACAAAAGTGGCCCCTGTAATACAGGGGCCACTTTTGTCTTGGCAACCCACGTGGAAGGGTCGTTTTCATCAACAAGTTTGTCGGGCGACATGAAAATCTCTTTTATTGCAAATACTCTTTAGAGATGAAAACAAGGTGTAATGAATAATATGAAAAGAGAAAATGTTAGGGAATCCCCCATTTTGAACTGTTGAGAGTTTTCGCATGTCGCTAACGTAAATATTGCGTTACAAAGGTTATGTGAAACAGTCTTTTTTGGTTTTTCATTAGATAAAGCAGTGATAGACTTTCTTGTAATGAGTGTTAATTATTTGTCGGCCAATATTTGACGAAGTTTCCTGTAGCGAGTGCGAATTGTAAGGTATTGAAACGCACAAACAAAGTTTCGCGCATGCAAGTTTAATAAGTTATAAGATTTGGTTTGTCGTAATGTACACAGTTCAACAGCGACTAAGCTTTGTCATCGTTAGGATGAATACTGTAACAATATTTTTCAATACACAGGGATCTCATTTATTGATAAGTAGCAAATATAGTCGCATTAACCATTCCGTTCCAAAACTAATCGAATTAGTATTTGGCCCTAAGCCTATTTAATGAGTAATTAATTTTCTTTGAATTATTTCAATATACTTCTAAATCACAAAAGTTAACAATTACGTCCAGTAAAGGTTCGAAAAGGTGAGGGCATAAAAACGCCCTAGCAATGATTTAATGCAAATAAGGAAAGAGGAAAGGGCAAGGGGAGGAGGAGGGAAAAAGTAATTTGTGTGCATGGCGAGTGGGTTAGAACGAATGACTGCATTGCAGCAAAGGTCACATGTAATTAAAACTTCACGTGACGTCACGGCGGCCATATTTGTGTCCCAAAACAGTAAAACGGCGGCCATGTTGGTGTCCCAAACCAGTCCTGTGGGAGTTGAACTCTTTTCTTATGCAAACGATTTCTTTTGTTCCAATAAATTTGCATAAATGCTGACTACGTGAGAGAAAACACTCTATAATCAACATGAGTCAACTCCCAATCCTAGGCTGTCAAGTACGCAGTTTTTCTCACGTGTTCAGATCGATTACATAATAATAAGATATTTCTTAGCAACAAGAATCCAAAGTAGCTAAGAATACCAAGGAGAAAAACATAAAAATTCTACATCAACGTCTAATCAATAATGTGAAAAGATAAAATGTTAGGGAATCCCGCATTTTGAACAGTTGAGAATTTGCGCATCTCGTTACCGTAAATATTGCGTGACAAAGGTTATTTTCGTTAAGCAGTGATAGACTTCCTCCTAATGAGTTTTAATTGTTTGTCGGAAAATATTTGACGAAGTTTCCTGTAGGAAGTGCGACTTGTAAGGTATTGAAACGCATAAACAAAGCTTGACGCATGCAAGTTTAATAAGTTAAGATTTTTGCTTTGTCGTAATGTACACAGTTCTACGTGGACCAAGCTTTGTCATCGCTAGGATGAATACTGTAACAATATTTTGCAATGGACAGGGATCTCATTTATTGATAAGTGGTAAATATAGTGGCATTAAACCATTCCGTGTGCAAACTAATCGAATTAATATTTACATGGTTACAGTTGCTGTTCCTACTTCAAATTTCTGAACCAGCGATATATCTCAGTCAGCGATATATCCCTGACAATGTAACTTTGAAAACACAGAAACGCGTTGCATTTTATGACCGGTGCCAGCCTTCGGCTAGGCCCCGGTAATAAGCTCTGACGGAAGTAACAATACAGGCGCATTAGCCGTGATTTTGTAATGTGTTCAAATACTTCTAAAGACGTGACCTGTCTTACTCCTTACCTTGGTTTGTTTCTTTTTCATTCAAAACCTTCTATTACAGGTAGATCATGTTACGTTCACGGAACGTTTTGTCTTTTTGTATGCAGTTGGCCTTCCGTAAACAGGGTGAAAAACAAATTAACTAACTCGGTTTGAAGATATAAGACATTTTACTCTTAGACCGGCGCGTCTTTTTGGGCTATTTACGTCTATGCGGTTTTAATGCAATAAATACACCAATTCATTTGTTTTTGCTTTGCTAGATATATTCAGCAGTGTTTCATCTTAGCTATATCCTTTTCATCGTGGGGCGCAAAATAGTTGACTGGACAAATCCGGAAGGCCTGATTGAAATAGATCTTGAGGAAAAGGGTGGCGAGATGGGCGTATTGTATTGCTACTCTATGACGGTCGTTCCTCCAATGATTTCACGAGGAGATTATTGTCTCTTTCTGCGATCATTTGTTAAACCTGTGCTTTGTAAATGTAGTAACAAACAATAAGCATTCTTTTCCGAGCTATCTTTTTAGGATAATGATCAACCTATCGGAATGCGGAAAAAGCCCTAAAGGAACTAAATGAAACTTCCCATTAAGCGAAACTGTGTTAAAAAGGCTTATGCAATCAGTACATGTCTCAATGACCGTCCATGCTGTGTCAACAATCTTTAACTAGAATGGAGACGACAAAGGTTCGTTCTAATTCAAAAACTGTATCAGTGTCAATATTACAAAGTCTCTCTATTTTTATTTGCTTCGTGGCTCTGATTCACGTCGAGTTGGAGTTGCAAGCACATCGAGATACTATAAGACTTTTGAATTCTCAACACAGTG